TCTATTTAAGAGCCGAATGCGTGGATCATCTGTTATGTTGCGTAAGGGCTCCAACTTTTCTTCCTGTAGAATTAAGTCTGAGTGAGACACTTAAACTGAATATGTGAGTGTGTGAGTTGGTTTTGGGTATGAGTGTGGGACGCACCTCTGTGAGATCATCAGGTAGGTGAAATGTCTCCCTTATCTCCTCTGGAGTCTTTCCTTCAATAATTCGAGCAAGTGCTCGACTAGTTAGATCAACCAACGGTTTCAACTGGAGGCTGTCAGCAGCAGATGTCAACTCACATAGCTTTTTTGTATCCATGCGAATGAATTTCTCATCAAACGTCTTACGCTCCTATGGAAAATAATACCCATGTTCATTTGTAATATGACTACTGAGTTGTCCATAAGTAACAGCGTCCATTCAATCTCCACATCTCCATAACTGATGATTGTGGTTAGAGGAAAGAACAGGTTCAGAGATATACTGACCTTATTGGAGCGACCCGGTACTTGATGGAACCTGCAATAGTCAAGAATTAAGCCTAATATAGCAGGATTCACTCGCTGCGGAAGAGATATTGCATAATTCTTGGAGGATCCCATCCCTGTTTGGAGTATTTCCCGACAAATCATAGGGCAAAACATAGCAACTTCTTCTTCAACTTGTTGTATTGAGCCATCAGCAGTTTGAAGCCAAATATAAGACTTCATCTGGAAAAAAATCACATTTCAGAAGGAAAATTAACCAACAAATAATGAATTGGCCGATGCAGCAAGTTAGATAAGTGTGATTTTTTCTTAAACTGTCGCCTGCTGTATCCTGATCATCAAAACACATAGGATCTCCAAGAAGCCCTAAATGCATTACATGTATCATTCATATCATCCCAAAAACTGTGTGCGTGTGGGAGGTGAAAAAACTCCATGGAAAATTTTGTGCCATGTTCTTAAACGAAGACAGGTTCTTGGTCCTAGTGTAAATTTGTAAAGCATTGTACCTCAGGTTTGACTACCGCCATAGCACTTTCAGTCATCTGATGTAGCACTGTGTGGTCGCCGCACAAAGAAAACAGGTCACTCAGTAATATCACTCTTTCAGGAATACTAATGTAAGCACTTTGAACCACCTCGAAGGAATTAGGGAGTCATAGAGAAATAAATATTCTACTTCTTCAGGGTCTTAACTTTGTTGAGACTCTCAACTCTTTATCAATACTGCCAAAGTGGATAAAAAGGAGAATCCAGACAAGCATGCCTCTTATTGATAATAGAAGTATAGAGAGCTAGCTGCACTACACAGAAGGGACTCACAATCAAGGACTAGCAAATAACCAAAAACCTGAGACCAAAAGACATAAATGCGAGCATTATTGAAAAGATTTGCAAACTTTATATCAGCCACTTGCAACATGCAAACACAGACTAGGATATTTACTTAACATGTCAAAATAAAAGGACATGACATACCTTACACAAAAGTAGGAAAATGATGTGGATTAACCAAAATTCCTTGTTTATAAGTATAGAGCACCATTTCTTAGATAAATAAAATAAACTCCCACTAGTGAGTCTATTTTTTCAGTCCTTTGGAGGATAAAGATTCCTATGAAAGTGAAATTTTTTGGAGGATGTATTGGTATTTGGCTTGTTTTGTTGTATTCTTTGTCAGAAGGCGAAGGAAGAAATAGATCACATTCTTTGGGGATGTGAGTTCGCGTGTTCTATTTGAAATTCTTACTTAAAGACATTTAGCTTCTTGCTTGCCCGTCATAGGAACATTAGTGTCATGATCGGGAAGTTCCTCCTCCATTCACTTTTTCATGAGAAGGGTCAGTTATTGTGGTTAGTTGGGGTGTGTTATCATGTGGAATCTTTGCAGTGAAAGGAATAATGGTGTTTAGAGGTTTGGAGAGGGATCCTAGCGATGTTTGGTCCCTTATTAGATTTCATGTTTCTCTTTCAACTTCGATTTCAAAGATTTTTTATATTTGTTCTACAGGCACTATCTTGCAAGATCGAAGCCCTTTTCTTTAACTGGGTTCCCTTTTGTACGCTCGGTTTTGTATGCCCTTGAACTCTTTCATTTTTTCTTAATCAAAGTTGATGTTTTAATCATAAATATATAAATAAAATACGCTCTGGTTCAACAATAACTTTCATCTTGAACACGGAAACCTGACTAATGGTACAGTGGGAAAATGAAAATTCTAACAGTTAATTCAGCTGTAAATCTTAACTCTAAAGTTAATTTCTGCTAGCCAACAGCCACTCTTTACATGCCACTTTAACGATGGCCCAGTCATTTCTCTGTCCTCTCACTCACTATTCTTTATTTAAAATATGAAATCATCATGCATATTCAAGAGATTAGGAGAGAATGATAACACACTTGTTCCTTTCAAAAACCATTAGAGTGCCAAAGAAAAAAATTTCATCTAGAATCGAAGAAAAATGCAAGATCCTCTACTCATCTTTCCTTAATAGAAATCCTACAATAGTCAACGGAAGTAAAAAGTAGCCAACTTGATACTAACCCTGACCTTCCCCTTGCCAAAAAAAAAAAACTACTGAAAATGAGCTGAACCTGAAAGTCTTTAGTGCACAGAAGGGGTGCTGCCTGCTGGCAGTTGAGCATATTAAAACTATTAAAGATGGACAGAAGTTCGTAGAGAACACACAGAAAGATATTTAGTGCTTTGATCCTTACAGAGAATAATCCAATTTGGTGATGGAAAAATATTGAACTTTCTCCTTCAAACAAAGTTACAAGTATGAATTTGATACTTATTTTTCTTAAAACTCGAGGTAATCCATTTGCGATTAGAGATGTGACCAAAACCTCTGATTTTTTTTTTCTTTGGATTGAAAGATAAAATTATTTCAGTTGGTTGGAATTACAAGGATACACCTTCCAAGAAGCACTCAATCACTGTGGTCAACAGTCACCTACAAACGCAAGCTCAACCACATCCTTCAACTTTACTCTCATTAATTGCATTATTCTAAAATTATATCAAATGATTCACCCAAAATCTAAAATCCTAGCCACAAGAAGCTAATCTCTAAAGAACTAACAAAACCTAACTCTCAAAATCAATTTTCAAAGCTAAAGAAGAAAATACTGTTCAATTTCAAAATTTTCGTGCACTGCCTGAATAGATATTTGAATCAACTTCAACAGTAGCGAGTGGACTCCATTTCTAACCACACTTCAGCCACAACACAAAGAAACGTTCCACAAATTCTCAATATTGCTACTTAATCCATAGAGCATGGTACATACAACAAAAGTCGAGGAAATCTCAAATTTTCCGCTGCCCAGATTTCAATTAAGAGAACGGTAAAATTTAACTACTGCAGCTATATGCCAACAAACGAACAAACTAAAACCATCAAAAACCGAAAATTCAACACCCATTTCCTCTTCTTTTCAAAAAAAACAAAACAAATCTAATTAATTAGAATCCGAATCGTATCCTATCACGGCAAATTAAAAATAATAACAACAATAACGAAGTCCATTTCCTTGGAGAAAAAAAACAACCAATGCAATTCGTTCCCAAAAATCAAGCTCATGTTCAAAAACCCCCTCTTGAAGGTAACGAAATGAATCAAAATCCCGACCAATAGGAGCCAAAAAGATAAATTAAAAAACGGAAAAACACAATAGAGATGGAAACATAGGGAAATGGAACACAGAAAGATGAAGAACATAAATTGATACCTTGCAAAATGGAAATGTTGCACAGAAAATGAAAGATTGGAAGAAGAAGGAGGAGCTGGAGATAGGGTTTCAGACTGGCCTCTGTTGATATTCTGCACTTTCAGATTTTTTTAAAATTTTTTATTTTTAATTTTTTTTTTAATTTTATTTTCTCTTACGCTTTGCTTAACAATTTGTGTGCGGTTCGTGTTCGGCACGTGATCTCTATCAACGAAGCTGGCCGCCGCACGTGACGGTAGTTAGGGTTTCGGGTGGAAGCCGACGCAGCCTCATCAGACTTGACTTCGCCGGAATCTTATGGGCTTCGTCGTGGGCCTGCGACACTCTAAAAATTATGACGTTTAAAAGTTTAGGGCAACTACGTATATAGAAAATAAATAAATAAATAAATAAATAAATAATTGTATTTATAACACCGTTTATTTCTTTATGCCATTAATGTGTCCATAAAATAAATCAAAATATTCTTTTAATGACGTATCAAATTTTTTTAGGGGTTCATATGATTCGAATAATTTGAACCGCCTAATTTAAGATTGGGTTGGGTTAAATCTTTTTAAATCGAAAAAACTTGGTTTGGTTCGTGAGTTTTGACTTTTTGAGCATGGTCAACTCGACCAACTTAAATATGGTTCATAACTCAACCTTATCCTACTTTTAAAATTTTTTTATATGACTAGTGAATGTTTGATATTTGAGTTTTATGAGATTTTAGTTATTAATATAGCTGTATAGTTGATCAGTATAGTTTTTTAAATGGCTAAATTCACGACCCAACTCAACCAGAAAATAGAGGTTTGGGTTGTGAACTCGATTCCCGCCATTTGGGTCATCGATGACATGGTATACCTCAACCCATAATAACCTGGTGCACCTCTAATTTATAAAAGTAATATGGTTTCATGAAATAAATTAATATATCATTTAACCATCCAAAACAGATAATATTTCATAATGGTGGACTTGAACTGTTACAAATGGTATTAGAGCCAGATATCAGGCAGTGTGTCAGCGAGGACGTTGGACCCTACAAAAGGTGGATTGTGAGATCCCATATCGGTTGGAGAGGAGAACCTCTCCCTAAGGGGAAGTTCAAACGAGACAATATTTGTGTGAACTTGACCTATTACAAATTTTGATACTCATTCATGCACCAGACACATGAGATCCACAAGTATAGCCATATTTGTGTTCTTACAGTTATTTTGGTAGTTTTTTTTTTTTAGAATGATGTAACCATTGAACGTTTTAATTGAGATTGGGCAATTATTACACCTTCAAGCCTCCCAAGTTGTGTGTTCTTGACTTGCCAATTAGTGCTAGTTTGTTGCGGGCACGAGTGCCATGTGAGGCGCCGTGGCAGAATGCACGATTCTTATGAACCCCACAATTCGACCGTCGGTGGTTGATCATTAAATGCTCAAAGTTGCGGACGGATTTGCAGATTAAGAAAACACCTGCGTGCGTCTTCAAATTCCATCTCGAATCGATTCAATGTGGTTATTAAGAAGAAAAGGACCCTCTGGATTTTCGTCCTCTTCCACTGCTGAGGAGGTTACAGACGGAATCGATGGCACTGGTCTCACCGCCATTGTTACAGGTTCTGATTTACTCTAAGCATCTATTCTTTTTGTATTTTTCTCTGAATTTTGAACTGCGTCTCATCCTAATTTTCTCTTGCTTGTGCGCCTCCTTCAATTATGCATCTGAGTTTCTTGGATTTTCTTCAATTTACGAACATGATTTTGAGTTCGAAACTTGTGCGGCTTGCGTTTTTAATGCCTGTAACATATAGATCTTCTTCTTCTTCTTCTTCTATTGTTTATATGTCAAAATGTGATGTGTGATTCGATTCGGATTGAAGTTTATTTTTTGGCTAAATTATATATATAAATCATGTGAACTTTGTACTTAGTTTAAAAAATGCACTATTCTAGTTCCAATTGTAGTTCCAGAGTAGAAATCCATTAGAATTGAAACACGGTGACCTTATAACAGTGTGGCGGTTTTTGGGTCCAAATTTTTGTTCGACGCCATTATAAATCTCTATTTATTTTGAACACTTCTGAATTGAGTTTGGACTGTAGTAGTTTTGTTTGTTTTTCTTTAAGTTTCGTGACAAGAATTTTAATAGTAAAGACGATCATTACATTTTTTGAACTACGAACACTGAATCAAAAGAAAATCTGAAAACTAAAACGTCATTGTTGGCAAACTATGGAGACTTAAAGAATGCGTTGACAAAAGAAAAAAGTTGGGATGGCTTTTGACTTCAGGTTTCTATTGCTGTAAAAAGAGATTGAGGAAAGAAATTCTAACTGAAAGTTTGTTAGTGGTATGAGAAAAGTTGTTTGGTTTTGTGAGATCCCACGTTGGTTGGAGAGGGGATCGAAGTATTATTTGTAAGAGTGTGGAAACCTCTCCCTAACAGACATGTTTTAAAACTGTGAGGCTAATGGCAATATGGAACGGGCCAAAACAGACAGTATCTGTTAGCGGTGGGCTTGGGCTGTTACAAATGGTACCAGAGTCAAACATCGGGCGGTGTGCCAACGAGGATGTTGGGCTCCCAAGGAGGGTGGACTGTGAGATCCCACATTGGTTGGAGAGGGGAATGAAACATTCTTTGCAAGAGTGTGGAAACCTCTCCCTAACATATGCATTTTAAAACCGTGAGGTTGACGGCGATATGTAACAGGCCACAGCGGGCAATATCTGTTAGCGATGGCTTGGGCTGTTACAGGTTTTTATTTTCTCTTGAAATGAAGGGTCTCCTACATGTTTTTCTAAGCACGGTTGGTGACTAGTTTTACCATTTAAATAAGCGCTCTCTTGGCTTGGTCTTCATTACTAAACGCAAGATTAATGCTGCAACCACATTTTTGCAGTTTTCTGAATTTTATTCCTTTTTTTGCTTTGGAATTAAACATTGCTAGTTGCACTTACAAGCTAATCCTTGCTTATGTCACAGGAGCATCGAGCGGTATTGGCTCTGAAACTGCGCGTGTTCTTGCCTTACGTGGAGTTCACGTTGTTATGGGTGTTAGGAATTTAGAAGCTGGTAGAAATGTCAAAGAAACCATTGTCAATGAGAATCCTTCTGCAAAAATTGATACCATGGAGTTGGATCTTAGCTCCATGGCGTCTGTAAGAAAATTTGCCTCAGATTATCAGTCGTCCGGGTTTCCACTTAACATCCTCATGTAAGAATTGATAGGCATTACAGTGACATGTTAAGTAGTTTGTTTCTGTATTGATGCACAGCTGCTTACTCGCTCCTGCTAGTCGTGGATTTACTTGCGTTGATATATAGCTATATAATTGAAGATGTAGTACAAGTTAGTGACTTTTTTTTCATCTCTTTTCTTTTTATTTGGTGGAAGTAATAATGCAGGAATAATGGCTACCCCTTTTGGACTTTCAAAAGATAACATAGAACAGCAATTTGCAACAAACCACGTAGGTACGTTTATATACTAGATTCTTCTTGCATAATGAAAACTTGTAATATATGTGAACTGGCAAGAAAATATATAGGATACACTTGAAAACATTGACTCATCAAGAGTTTGGTATATTGATACAGAAAACAACTAGGGCAATTTGATGTTGCATGATTTTACTGCTATTAAATATGGGTGAGTCCAACTTGTTATGTCTCGATATGAAAGGCTGAGAAAGTGAGGTTGTGGCCATGGGGAGATTAGGCCGTAGGCCTTGCTTAGCTTTAGGAACTTTGGTTTATTGTCTTGATATTGTGGCTGCTACGATGAGAAAGTTTTATATCAACATTCATTGAAGTGGAGTTGGTTTTTTGGGCCTAATTGGAATGACTTTCTAAGAGTTTAATGAAGTTCTTTTAAGAACTAAAAAAAAGTGTTTTTAAGCACGTAGAATGTCAATCGAAACCTGCTCTAATTCTCTGTTTGTACTGCTTGTAGCTTTTCTTGCATAATTTTTTGGATAATATATGTCTTCTTATTGTCTTCCTCGGTCTTTATCTCCACCATCATAGCAACTAAGATCTCCTCCATTCATTTTGAAAATAGAATTGATGGATAGTTCCCTAGTGTACAACAATTATAAGGAACCTAACTTGTTGTGTTTCAGCTCATCATTATTCCTGACCCAATTTGATACTCCGAGTTTATGCAGGCCATTTCCTTTTGACGGATCTACTTTTGGAAAATATGAAGAAAACTGCTGTTGAAAGTGAGAAAGAAGGTAGAATTGTAAACGTTTCCTCAGAAGCTCATCGTTACACATATCCTGAAGGCATCCAATTCGATGGAATTAACGATGAATCAAGGTAAACTTTTTTAAGCGTGCAGAAATAAGAATGGATGCCTTTTTGTGGTTTAGGAAGCATTGTTTGAGAACAGGGAATTAAGTGGTTGGCGATGTTTTGCTTTCCTCCTACCTAAAGAAGGCTGATTTTCAATTCCTTGCATTGTCTGAAGACTGGAAACTGACAAGTAGTAACCCAGTTTGGGTATTGCTGCTTGCTGCCTTCTTTCTGTTTCGCTCGGTTTTAAGCATATACCGGTTTTGACGCATTCAATCTTCCCTCTATAAATATTGTTTAGAATAAGAATGTATGTGTATAAAAAGATTAAATATAATCTAAACTATTAGCTTAAAACTTTTAGATTTAGTTGTAGCTACTAGGTTAACATAGTATTCGTCGAGGAGGTCTAGACTGTCACTTCCTTTCGAATTGATATTAATACTCCACTTGTTGGGTTTTTTTAAAGAAAGTAATATTCAAACCAACCCAGAGCGGGGTATTACAAATTAAATGAAGGATCAAATATTTACCTGACTTAAGCTGTAAGCTTTTGGGCTCAGTTCTAGTTTGATAAATATCACTCCGTTTTTCTTACTCAAACAAAAACATGTAGATAAATTAATAATATGTGCCGAACTTTCCACAGGATGCTTAGGGTGGAATGTATAGTTCTAAACCTTGACCTTTGAGCATGCAAGACATTGTTATTCTTTGAGTTTATCATTCAACAGTGATTTACACTTGTTCATGTAAAAGTTTGATAGTTGTTTAAAATCTGTCATTGTAGGTACAATAAAATGCAGGCTTATGGCCAATCGAAGTTATCTAATATTCTGCATGCCAATGAACTTACGCGACATTTCAAGGTACGGATACTTCTCTAGTTGATGGTGAAAACAAACAAACCAAAAATGAGAAACAAGAAAGGTTGTATGGCTTTAGATGATAAATTCGAGTCCTTTCTTCATTGCCAAAACTCGGTTCATTTCATTATTACTTCTAGTTACCCTGTCGTTTCTTCGTGGACATCCTATAAAGGGCATTATATGCTTCATTGAGCCCAGGAGCTCATTTTTGTTGATTTTTTAATTTAGAATTTCGTCATTTTTCCTGCCTTTTGTTTACTAAGAATGGTTGTGGCAAACCATTTTAAAATGTTGGTTTCTTCTTGTACAGGAAGAAGGAGTAAACATAACTGCAAACTCGCTTCACCCGGGGATAATCACCACAAATCTCTTCCGCCACTTCAATTATGGCAATGGTAATAGCTTAGACATCAAATGTCTGAGTTTTTAAATTCTGTAATAGCCTAAGCTCTGGAAGTAGATATTGTCCTCTTTAGGCTATCCCTTTCAGGTTTCTCCTCAAAATTTTTAAGACACGTTTGTTAGGAAGAGATTTTCACAACCTTATAAAAAATGTTTCGTTCTTCTCTCTAACCGATGTGGGATCTCACAGTTTCGACTTATGAGTTCCTTTGTTTTGTTATTTACGGTATAAGAATGTTTTCAAAATCCAAAACTAAAAAATCCACCTTTAGCTAAAAGTTCAGATGTTTCCTTATCTCGTAAAGTCTCTCTCACATTACCTGGTTCTTGTCTTTCTTGCTTCAGTTGACCATCTTTATCTTGCATTTTGATTGACAACTTCTTTCTACATATCTAAACTGCAGAAGTTCAGCTCAGTAGATATCTCTCTTGAAACCCATCTTCCTAGGAGTTCTCTAATCCAACAGCCCTTTGCTTTTCTTGCAGGTCTAGCAAACACCGTCGGCAAACTCATATTTAAAAATGTTCAACAGGTGAGCTTCATTCTGTGGCGTTTACTTTGCATACACTTGCAAAAACTGAGATATTGTCACGAACAAGGACTTTAAGCTCTTTTTCAACATCTCCGGATGTTACTTACAGTTTCGTTCGTTTTTAAACTTTGACGAGATTATGTGACATAATTGGCCAATATTGAAGCGATGTGTTTTGCAGGGTGCAGCAACAACCTGCTATGTGGCATTGCATCCACAAGTAAAGGGAGTGAGTGGTGAATATTTTATGAACAGTAACCTACATAAGCCAACCCAACATGGCCAGGATGTTGATCTCGCTAAGAAACTTTGGGATTTTACGACTAACTTAATCAAATAATCCGATTCTCATTTTTCGTCTGAAGTGTGGAACTTGAACCTGGTCTAAAGAAATGTAATAGTTAGGTTGTGTTGTACGTGTTTGTGGAGTATTACATTACAAATAGAAATGGTGTCCTAAAAAAAAATAAGGTATTAAAGATTCAACCATTCTAGTTGGTTTTGGATTGGTAATGCATATGTATTCGTGCATTGTGGAAAGTTGTTAGAAATTACCATTTCTCTATTATATTATGATAGACTTTTATCACTAATAGATCAATTCATACTATATTTTTACATTTGTCACTAATAGACGTTATTATTAATCAATCATTTTTGTGTCTATTGTTGACATAATTTGTACATCAATAGTCGCTCCATGTCATCAATTACTTTTTATTATTGAATAATTTTTGTATGTTTGTTAGGACATTTTTATGTATTAAATATACCTCAATCATTGGGATGTTTATTTAATGATGAGGTAGTCATTCATATGTTTATTAATGAATAATAACTTTTGATCAACATATAAAATTGGAAATTGAGAGATCTATTAAAACACGGTTAAGAATTTAAGAATTTATACGGAGCTTACGGAAAATTCTTTAAATTAAAAATTTATTAGACACAAATTTCAAAATTTTAAAATTAAAAATTTATAAGAAAACTATTCTTTTAATTATTCTAAAGAGAAATGAATAACTTTTATCTCATAAGATTATGTTTCTTAGTCAAATTCTCAAAATGATAGGCACGTTAAATTGGTCACAAAAGTCAAAAAGTCCAACCTCTCACATGCAAATAACTTATAATTAAAACTGAGTCGCATATGATTGTCCTATAAAACATGAATCTTCTATTAACAAATTTATAAATAAGTTTATAAACGTATATTTGAAGACGTCTACATACGCATAAGCTAGTATTTAATGCATGAATGTAAAAAATGTTGGCATAAATTTTAATATTTTCATTTTTATGCTAAATAAATTATTAATTTTTTATTTTATTTTGTGCCTATTATATAAAACAAATTATTATTATTTATTTATTTGATCAAAATTAAAAGTTGAATAATATTTTTACATTTGAAAAACACATTGCATAGAAAATTTTAGTTGCGAGACACTGAGCAGATTGGATATAGAGAGAGGGGAATGTGGTTTCTCAGCAGGAAAGGGCCGTCTGGGTTCTCCGCTTCTTCCACAGCTGAAGAAGTCACAGAAGGAATCGATGGGACAGGTCTCACCGCCATTGTTACAGGTCATTTTACTTCCTCCATTTCTCTATTGTCGAATTTATTGAACGAATTGCCCCATTTCTTATGAATTTTGTTCTCTTACTCATTCCAGTTTCTTATCAGATTTCGATTAAAAGAAATATGGAGATGAGGCGTGGCTTTTCTCTCTATTTTGTGTTTCTCTGATAGTTTTTCCTGCAGATTTCATTGTTCAAGGCCATCGTTTAGCTTAGAGCTTGCATATGGGTTACTGGGTTTCATTGCTTTCATTGTTGATTGACCTAAGTTATATACTATTAGAAACCACGATCTTGCCGTAATGGTATGATATTGTCCACTTTGAACATAAGCTCTCGTGGTTTTACTTTTGGTTACCCAAAAAGTCTCGTACCAATTAAGATGTATTTTTTACTTATAAATCCAATCAACCCTTTAATCAGTTGATATGGGACTCCTCTTCCAACAATCCTCAACAATTCTCCCCTCGAATAAAGTACACCATAGAGCCTCCCTTGAGGCTTATGGAGCCCTCAAACAACCTCCCCTTAATCGAGGCTCGACTCCTTCTCTGGAGCCTTCGAACAAAGTACACCTTTTATTCGACACTTGAGTCACTTTTGACTACACTTTCGAGGCTCATAATTTCTTTGTTCGACATTTGAGGATTCTATTGACATGGAGAAGTTAAGGGCATGACTCTGATACCATGTTAAAAACCACGACCCTTCACAATTGTATGATATTGTCCATTTTGAGCATGGTTTTGCTTTTGGTTTACTCAAAATTTCTCATACCAATGGAGATGTATTCCTTACTTATAAACCCTTGATCAACCCCTTAATTAGCCGATGTGGGACTCCTCTCCCAACAATCTCTTCCCCTCGAACAAAGTACACCATAGAGCCTCCCCTGAGGCCTATGGAGCCCTCTAACAACCGCCCCTTAATCGAGGCTTGATTCCTTCCCTGGAGCCCTTGAACAAAGTACACTCTTTATTCAACACTTATGTCTACACCTTCGAGGCTCACAACTTCTTTTTTCGACATTTGAGGATTCTATTGATATGGCTAAGTTAAGAGCATGACTCATACCATGTTAAAAACCACAGCCATTCACAATGTATGATATTGTCCACTTTGAGCATAGGCTCTAATGGTTTTGCTTTTGGTTTACCCAAAAGGCCACATACTAATGGAGATGTATTCCTTACTTATAAACTCATGATCAACCCCTTAATGAGCCGACGTGAGAATCCTCTCCCAACAATCCTGAACATATATTTACCGATCAAAGAGTAAATTAATGGGTAGACAATGAGGGTAATGCTGAGGGGGTATAGTTAGCATCCTCTTTTAGAGTTGCCTTTGGTGCGTGATGAAAATTAGAGCTCGAATGTACATATTGAGTGCTTCCCTTTTTCTCATCATAAGGTCTTCTGCATTAACACAGGTGCATCAAGTGGCATTGGCAGTGAAACTGCTCGTGTCCTTGCATTGCGCGGTGTACGTGTCGTAATGGCTGTTAGGAATGTAGCAACTGGTAGGAAGGTCCAAGAAGCCATTGTCAAGGAAAACCCAACTGCCAAAGTTGATACCATGGAGTTGGACTTGAGCTCGATGGCATCTGTTCGGAAATTTGCATCAAATTTCAATTCCTCAGGTCTTCCACTGAACATTCTCGTGTAAGATGTGGATTCTATGTTACATTTGCTATCTGAATATCTTAATCTTCTCATTCCATCAGCGAGCTTATTTATCTTCACTGTGTGGAATTATGTTGTTATTAACAAATAATATGAGTGATGTAAGAACATCTCTGTATTTCCAAATATTATACATGATGCAGATGGCATCTCTAGTTTCTCATTGGTATCTCTATCTCTATCTCTGTATTGTTCCAGAAGAAATGAAATAAAGGATAAGCTGGTGCTAGGATAGTTAGTATGAGTTGTACCTAACATTAATAACATGAAAGAAGAAGCTCCTTTGTTTAGATTACTTCAATAGTTAAGGAAGGAACAGCCCACCGCTAGCAGATATTGTCCGCTTTGGCCCGTTACATATCACAGTTTTAAAATGTGTCTACTAGGGAGAGGTTTCCACACCCTTATAAGGAATGCTTCGTTCCTCTCTCCAACCAATGTAGGATCTCATAATCCACCCCCCTTGGGGGCTCAGTGTCCTCGCTGGCACACTGTCCAGTGTCCTCGTTTGCACACCGCCTAGTGTCTGACTCTGATATCATTTGTAATAGTCCAAATCCACTGCTAACAGATATTGTCCGCTTTGGTCCGTTACGTATCGCCGTCAGCCTCACGGTAGGGAGAGGTTTCCACACTCTTATAAGAATGCTTCATTCCCCTCTCAAACCAACGTGGGATCTCACAGTAACATACCATTTTTGTATTTATGGTTTCTCTAATTCAAGTTGTCCTTTCATTTTGTCTACGGAGTAAGACTAATTTCTTTCATAATTTCTTTCATATGTCCTCGCCTAAGTGCTTGTATATGTGCATATATGCCTAACCTATTGGTAAAATGGGGAGAAAACTGAACACTTACACCATTAGTAGATCTTCTATATAGCGACACTGTTTTGTTCTACAGTAATAATGCAGGAGTCATGGCCTCCCCGTTCTTGCTCTCGAAGGACAAGATAGAGTTGCAGTTTGCAACAAACCATGTGGGTACGTACATCAATAGAGAAGGACTGATTGTTACTCTTTGTAGTGGATGATAGAAAATTGACGGTCTAGTCATTTTTTACCTATGGTGTCCTAATACTTGATAGTTCTCTCTGCAGGACATTTTCTTTTGACAAATCTGCTGTTGGAGACATTGAAAAAGACAGCAACAGAAAGCAAAAAAGAAGGAAGGATTGTCAATGTCTCATCGCGACGACACCAATTTTCGTATCGTGAAGGCATCCGATTTGACAAAATCAATGATCCATCAGGGTTCTCTTTCTTTCACCCTTTGCTATAATTCCTTTTCTCCCAGCATAAGCTAATGCATGGTTCCTTCGGGACGTATTGGTCAGTTTTCATTAGAGGATTGTGAGGAGTCGGAGGGACATGTTAGGAATCACGACCCTCCATAATGGTATGATATTGTCCTCTTTGAGCACAAGCTCTCATGGCTTTGCTTTTGGTTTTCCCAAAAGGCCTCGTACCAATGGAGATGTATTCTTTACCTATAAACCCATGATCATCTTTTTAATTAGCCGATGTGGGACTCCCCACCAAAAATCCTCCCTTCGTACAAAGTATACCATAGAGCCTCCTCTGAGGCCTATGGAGCCCTTGAACAACATCCCCTTGATTGAGGCTCGACTCCTTTCTTTGAAACCCTCGAACAAAGTACACTTTTGTTTGACACTTGAGTCACTTTTTGACTAAACCTTTGAGACTCACAACTTCTTTGTTCGACATTTGAGGATCTATTGACATGACTAAGTTAAGGGCATGACTCTAATACCATGTTAGGAATCACAACCCTCAACAATGGTATGATATTTCCCACTTTGAGCATAAGCTCTCATGGCTTTACTTTTGGTCTCCCCAAAAGGCCTCATACCACTGGAGATGTATTTCTTACTTATAAACTCATGATCATCTCCTTAATTAGCCGATTTGGGACTCCTCACCAACAATCCTCATCAGGACGTCCACACCATCAAATATGATTTTTATTTCCTTGTTACTTTATGACTTATAACCCCAAATTGAAGAAATTAAGAATCAAATTCCTGCATATAATCATTGCTATGCTATGGTTGTTGTAGTTAATATAGTGACAAATTTGAACCATACAATCTCTACTGACATTCATTCTATACAGCTATAATGGTCTTTCTGCATATGGTCAATCAAAGCTTGCTAATATTTTGCATGCTTCCGAACTCGCAAGACAGCTGAAGGTTCGTGACATGTTTGTCGAACTCTCTCTTTAATATAATTTTTATAAATTTAGGCACCAAAAATGATGCAATTGGAATGATGCACCGTCTTCCTCGGTCGCATCATGGAATTCCTCTATATTGGCCCACACATGGCCGGATGGACGCCGCTTTGCTTGTCTTGGCGTGAGGATCACAACTTACTCTCTTTATAATATGGTTGTGACATTCTCCCCCACTTAAATTAGTCATCGTCCTCAAGGACTTTCTCGGGTTATAATTGCATCGTGGATTGTGACATTAGGCATGGTTATATTAAGGTTTTATGATAGAGTAGTTTAACACTTACATTGAAACCAGATTTTGGTGTTGTTTCTGCCATTTTCTGCTTGGTTTAGCTGCGGAGTGTAAACAGACAATATCACTGAGCCATCGTTTACTTCTTAAAACAGGAAGAAGGGGTGAATATAACTGCAAATTCACTACATCCTGGAGCCATTCCTACTAACCTATTTCGTTATCACGGTCTCATCAACGGTATCAAATCTTCTACCTCGCCATTATCGTCATCTCATAAAAGCTCTGTATTCAGCTCATTTTTCTTATGTTTTAGAGCATTTGACTACTGTGATTCTTGGTGATAACAACATGGTTTTAGAATCTTCAAGGACTTTTTGCCTGTTTCTCACTATGATTTGTTGCACTATTACCTTTTATTTATTTATTTTTTTTTCCGTCTAATTGTTCCCGTGTCAAGTTTGTGAGATCCCACGTCGGTTGGAGAGGGTAACAAAACATTCTTTATAAGGGTGTGGAAACCTCTCCCTAGTAGACGCGTTCTAAAAACTTTGAGGGGAAAGCCCAAAGAGGACATGTGATGTCCCACATTGGTTGGGGAGGAGAACAAATCACCATTTATAAAGGTATGGAAATCTTCTCCTAGCAGACACGTTTAAAGCCTTGAGGGGAAGCCCAAAGAGGACAATATCTGCTAGCAGTAGATCTGGGCTGTTACAAATGGTATCAGAGCCAGACATCGGATGATGTGCCAGCCTTCTCGCTGTTCCTCCAAGGGGGTAGACATGAGGCGGTGTGCCAGTAAGAACGTTGGGCCCCAAAGGGGGTGGATTTGGGGGTGGTCTCACATCGATTGGAGGAAGGAAAGAGTGTCAGCGAGGACGCTGGGCCCCGAAGGGGCGTGGATTGTGATGTCTCACATTGGTTGGAGAGGAGAACAAACCACCTACATGACGTCTGAGTCTTCGTCTTGACCTTCGGGTGACTCAGATCATGGGTGAAATCGCAATGACAGAATCTTGCTTTAGGATAGGTGGTTTATAGAAAAGTACTCTCATTTGCAGTGGTGGTGTATCGGGAATACTTTAGCAGGTAGCGTATCCTCTTTTTGGAGTGGTGGCTAATCCTCTTTTTGGAGTGGTGGCTAATCCTCTTTTTGGAGTGGTGGCTAATCCTCTTTTTGGAGTGGTGGCTAATCCTCTTTTTGGAGTGGGACATAATTACGCAATTTCTGTATAATACTGCAATGCTAATTACCCGCATGCCTTATGAGGATTCACTCCCTCAATTCTGTTACCCTTCGAATCGACTTTTTGGAGTGGGACAGAATTCTGCCATTTCAGTATAATAAAGCATATTACCCACATGGCTTACGAGGATTCACTCCTTCCACAATGTGTAGAACAGGAAAATTAAATTGCCTTAGTTCGTTTAATATTAATTTTACATATACTTTTATTGTTTGGGTGTGGAAACCTTCCCCCTAGCAAACGCGTTTTAAAGCCTTGAGGGGAAGCCCGAAAGGGAAAACCCAAAGAGGACAATATCTACTAGCGATGGATCTGGGCTGTTACAGGACAATATTTGCTAGCGGTGGGCTCGGGCGGTTACGAAGTTGCTGCTCCATGTCTTAATAAACATACTTCTCATTTGTTTTTGTCCCAAATTTCATGCAGGTTTTCTTGGCCTTGTGGGTAAACATGTCATGAAGAATGTACAACAGGTAATGATCTAGTTCAGAAAAGCTATATACACAAATTTATAGGCCTCTCCCTTTTGATTGTTTATTAAATCAACTTGATTTAAGCTTCTGCTACGGTTTTTTTTTTTTTTTTTTTTTTTTTTTTTTTTTTTTTTTTTTTTTTTTTTTTTAATTTGTTTTTTTTTTATTATTGAGGCCCCTCATGGTAAAATGTCTTTTTATTCTCATTCATTGTAGGGGTGAAATTACCTCTCACCAAAATTTTACTTCAACTTTACCTGAGCGATTTTCGGGTTCAGTTAACAGCCCCAGATGCTTGTGTTTATTAACTCTAAAAGTCTAACACAGGTTTCATTTAAAACATACGAAGTTCTTCCGTACTAAATTATTACGTTCGTTCTTATATGAGAATAGTTACATTATCTATTTAAGCTTTTTAAGTAGACAATTAAAGGGTAATCGATATTCCATCACGATGATATGTTTTTCAATGATGAAACAATTGTAATTATCTTCCTGCTTTCAGGGAGCAGTGACGACATGCTATGTTGCATTACATCCGCAAATGAAAGGAATCAGTGGCCAGTATTTTGCTGATGGGAACGTTGCCAAAGCAAGCTCACAAGCTAATGATAGTGAATTGGCAAGGAAGCTGTGGGACTTCACCCAAAAGTTGATATCAGTGCTTCAGAAAGATGATATCAGTGCTTCAGAAAGTTGATATCAATGCTTCAGAACTTGCTTAAGAGCTCATGTTCTATAACAATCTTCTCCTAATGTTGAGATTTTCAGCTTATATACTGTGTTAAAAACTATAGTTTTTCTTTATCTTCCAATTTTTTTTTCATAGATCAAAAGAGTTCTAAAATTGAGAACTCGGAATTATAGTGCTCTCGAACCGATATTGTTAGTTGATATCCAGTGCTATATTGCATTAGATCCCACGTTGATTGGAGAGGAGAATGAAACACTTTATGAGAGTGTAGAAACCTCTATTTAGTAGATGCGTTTTAAAATTGAGAGGTTTATAGTGATACGCACTCGACCAAAACAAATAATATCTGCTAGTGATGAGCTTGAGTTGTTACAGATACACACCATTAACACCAACATTGTATATTCGAATGAGAAATGAAAGGGAAAAGAAGTAAAAGAAAAAGAGAAACAATACCTTGGTGTGACAATGTCAACGAAAAATCTCCGAAGAAACGAAGTGAGAAAAAAAATGTCTCTTTACTCCATTCAGTAATAATAATGGAAATTGAAACAGAAACTTAATCGATGATATATATCTAAAATGAAAACTTAACCGAAAGTGTAAATTGATACATTTATTCGATTTTGAGGTTTAAATTGATAAAATTGAAATTTTAGGGTAAAATTTGATAAACTTACCAAATTTAGGATTATGAATAAATTTTCCCTAATTTTTTAAAATTTTCCAAATTAAGGAGTTTGACATTTCATTGGGCCAAACGAGGCCCGATTCATGACCCGACCCGTTTTGATTATCACTTTTGAAGGAGCGTCACAGCACAACCAGCGCCAATAAATCAAATTTTGAAACGCCCAACGGCTACTTTATTTCTTCCCCGAATTATAATTTCAGACACCAAAGCACAAAATCAGTCTCGCTTCTCTCTCTCTCTCTTCTCTCTTCAATTTACATCCGAATTCAGTTTATTTCCCAAATTCATTATTCCGGAACCCTAATTTCCATGGATTCGTCTGCGAAAGTCGAGTCGAAGCTCAGAAGAGTTCCCAAGGGTTTCAACGAGGCGCGGAAGGTGCGGGTGGTTGCAAGGATTAAAAGCTTCGCTGATCAGGTACTAGATGGAGGTTCTATGGCGTCGTGGATCTCTGTGAACAAGCCTGACGGAGATGCTTCTGACTCTGTAACCATCTCTTTCGGAGGTCAACCAGTGAGGTGAGTGCTTCTTTTTTCTTTTTTTCTTTTTTTCCTTGTATATATAAGTTCTGTACCTTGATGTGCTTATTGCTACCGATTCATCGTAAGTTAGATGAAATATATGCTTCTCGACTTTACTTTTTCTGAATTATGGATTAGTTTTTTTTTTTTTTAATTTGTTGTGGATTCTGTGATTTGTGATAGTCGGGAATCAATCGGGGAAGTACTGAGAAAAAGAAGAGACTAAATTCAGTAAGAATGATTTTGTTATTATGTGGGAAATGGGAAGTATCCAAATTGTGGTTTATGCTGATCATTATTACTTTTTTCTACCACCAAATTGTAAAGTTAATCAAGGGGAGATAGTATGGACTATTACGTTTCTGGGAACTACTGGGAAAGTTCGTAAAATTTGACCTGTGGGGAGGCTTTTTCCTCGATGAAATTTGTTCCAGTAAACAAAGGGGAAAGAAATTGTCATTATTGACTATTACGTTTCTGATGTTTGTTTTTGTGAAAGAAAATACTAGATATAATATGATCATAACTTCCATCAAGTCTACAATCAATCCATTATGGACTATTACTTTTCTGAGACTTCTTGGGAAGTTTGTTAAGTGACATGTGGAAGCTTTTTCTTATTAAGAAGCTTATTGATATAATATATAGTTTTAATATTATAGTAATTTAATATTGCACATTAAATTCTAATTTAATATTTATACTGTTATAGTTATCTAAAATAAATTAACAATACTTTAAAGTTTTAAAGATACCCTAGAAATAGTGAGATTATGTACATATTTTTCTCTCTTTTTTAAAAAATCTATTTTGGCATTCATTTGGAAGAAAAAACGTAAGGATTTGCTTTCTAGATTGTCAAACTACCAATAAGAATATTTGGATAGAAGTGTTAAATTGGTAAGAATATATCACAGTGCGGTTGTAATCTCAAGAACCCATGATAGAGGGAGTGGACAAAAAATGACTAGACAGTTGCTGCATAATATACTCTGTAATTTGGATATACCAGGATTACATCAATAGAAACAGTCCCTCACTGTCTTTTGTCATTTTAGCTTCTTACCTTTTTCAACATCCTAACCGAAGCTTATCATTCTATGATTTCTTAAAGATTCCCCTGCAACACATTTTTCATGATTATTCTTTAGTTTCCTCGTCGTTCTTATAAATTTGTTTGGTTGGTGGAATTGAAGCTGCCAAAATCAATATTTTGGAATGTGTTTCAGTGTAAAGTTGAGTTTGGCCTACTCAGCAATCCAAAATTCCTGGGTATTGAAAGCCTATCATTGTCCTATGCTGACTTGCAGCAAAGCAATATGTCGTTAGGGAAAAAAAAAAAAAAAAAAAAAAACGAGCTAGAGACAACAATAGGATAGGATCATCCTCCTTAAAAAAGGAAAAGAAAAGATCTAGAGAGTTTAATTCAAATTGTTGAATGCAAAGCTTAATTAGTTCTTCCTGCATCTTCTTGTTGGAATAAGACAATTCTTTCACTTTGCAGTCGTAAGGAGACTTATGAAGTAGATTATTGCTATGAGCAGAATGAAGACACTGAAAAAATATTTGCAAAAGAGGTGAAACCTCTGATTTGTGGAGTCTTTGACGGTCATCATGCAACCGTTATTGCATATGGTGCAAGAGGCACTGGAAAAACTTCTACGATTCAGGTGCAACTTTGAACATGTGTCTCTGTTTTCTATTATTTCGTATTATCTCTAACTGGTTTCCTATAAGTATTCATTACTTTGCTCTACCAATTGCTGTCATCTTCATCTTTTAATTTACTTGGCGTACTAATTAGACCATACATTTTGCAGGGTACTATTGAGAAACCGGGTTTGGCATCATTATCCATGAATGAATTACTTTTAATGGCCAAAGAAAAAGGGAAGTCAATTTTCATATCCTACTATGAAGTTTATGTGGACCATGTTTATGATTTACTGGATCCGAAACGACCAACAGTTTTAGTATTGGATAACGGTCATGGCAAAATACAACTTAAGGGACTTTCGCAGGCAAGTTACTCTGTTTTTGCCTTTGTATCCAAAAATTTTAAGCTTACTGGTTTGGCCTTCAATATTATTTACCTTGTATGTTGAAATTTTCTAATCCTCACGTTGTTTTAATTGTTCAGATTCCAGTGAAATCCTTGTCAGACTTCTACGAACTATATTTGGGTTCTAGTTCACGTAAACAAGGGCAAAAGATTGCAAATGAATCCCCTCATAGAAGCCACCGGGGCTTGATAGTGCATATTTCATCTACCAATGAGGCTGCTTCGGATACTCATTCTGTTGCCAAGATGAATTTTGTTGACATGGCTGGTATAGTTAAATTTATGAGGCCGGTCAAAGAATTATAGGAAAAGTACTTCAATTACATTTTATACTTGGTTTAACCTTTTATCTTGCTACTCCTATATCAGGTTATGAAGATGCGAGAAGGAAAAGTACTGATGGCACTAGCCTCGTCGAAAATAGTAAAATTAACAAGTTCACATACGCCTTGCTAAATGTTGCTTCTGCGTTGAATTCTAATGATAACCATGTGCCATATCGAGAAAGTAAGCTTACACGTATTCTGCAAGAATCCATGGGTGGAACGCAAAGCAAAATTTTGATGATTTCTTGCTTGGTATGAGGTTTTAATTGAGTTTTAGATCTTTCCTATTTCTCACACGTTCTACATGACCGTCCTTGTTTTCACAATTATTTTTTCATTACAGAATTCATCATTTTGCCAAGACTCCATCTACATGGCTAACTTGGCGGCTAGATCTTGTCAAGTAACCAAGCGGGTTGCTTCGGATACCATTAGGAAAATGAAGAGTTCTACAAATTCTGTGGTGCATTCATCGCTTAGAAACCAGATACCTAAAAGCGTTTCTGCAACTGCAAAGAAGCAGACCATCTCCCGATCTTATTTTTCTGAAAAGAAGGCAAGCGTTAGTACAACCTCTTCCTATACAATAAAAGGAAGGTATGAAGAGAAGACCAATATATAGAAATTAGAACTGAAACTGAATGGATATTTATATGAATGTTTACTAATTTGTATATCTTCTTTTTATTCCCAATTTGAAGGAAGTTGTTTGAAGATGCAACAAGTCATTTGGGAAAACGGGACAAGGTATCTATCTTCTTTTGTTGCTAAGATACTATGCAATGATATTGAATTGCTTTCATTTCTTTTAATTAGTAATTTTACCGTTGACATTCTGTTATTGAATACGATATGAATGGAGGAAATTTGAAGGAAGTAGATTCTATTTAGGAAATTTTGATAACTCAATTAATATGGTGGTTCAAGATTCCAACATCACAAAATGTAACTCCCACTACATTGAGCTATGGAAAATTAAAACAGAGCTAGGTACCAAATGTTTGGAATATGATCAAAGTCTCACATTGACTAGATAATAGGAAGATTCATAGTATATAAGTGAGAACAACTATATCCAATGATTTAAACCTATATGTATGAATGAAACATAAAAACAGCATCTTACTCTGCTAACCTAACTCCACAAAACTAGCCACTTACATCACTAACTCCAAATATAGCAACTTAAGCTAACCGACTAAAAGTATCATCAACAAACTAGGATCCTGGCTAATTCAAAACTACTAAAAATAGACTTGCAGACTTGAGTTAACTAACATTTTCTTTTTTGCCTTCTTCAATTTACTTACTGATTATTTGACTAGCTTGTTTGTGCATCTACAAAGAAGTGGTTTTGGTTTTTCTTTTTAATTCTTTACAAACGCTGCTCGTGACTTTCTCTTAGTTTTGTACCAAAAACAAGGGAATTAACCTGTATAACAAATGTCAGAGTCATGTCATGTCAACAGTTTAAAACGTAAATGCATGAAGAGGCAAGCATTTTATGATGGAACATACTGAACATGATAAATTCAAGAAGTCAATAGGAGGAATCTAGAAATTTTTCTTTAACTTGTGCCTGTCTTTTTTGTGACATTCCTTCCACACCCCCTCCCGAATATCTTAGAGATGTGTTCCTCATTTTTAACTCTTTCTAGGAAATTCAATTGCCAAGCGCATCTTCTGATTGTGTACCTCTGAAGTATGAAGAAGCTACTTCTGTTGTGGACCAGGTAGTTAACTGACCGAGTTATAGTCCAACCAGATATTTTGTTCATGCACAACAATAGAATTATTTTTATTCCCTCCCCATCCCCGATCCCTTCAATCTAATGCATGACCAACTTAGTACTATCCCTGCTAGGCAAATCCCTTGCCGTGTTCTCTAAAGCCTGAAGAAGAATGTACTTCTGCATTGGAAAAGGCAAGTAAATATATGTGCAGGTTATATAATGCGAAGAACACATACCTTATTGTTTTTTCATTAAAGATATTTTGTATTTCTCAGGAATTTTCTGCCGCAGGAATTTCCAGTGCAGTAGAAACTACCATAGCGCCAAAGGTGATCATCTATTGTTGTAGTATACTGTATAATCAAACTGTACGGAAGTGGCATAGATATCTTACACATTTATTTTTTTGTTTATATAGGATGTTTCTAATAGCAATCATGATCCTGGAAGAATCATTGATGGCATGAATGCATTATCTGCCACTGGAGATGGTATGATAATTTTGTACCGAAGTGTATGTTAAGGGGTCGGTGGCCCATTCATTGTATATTCGTAAATTATATATTTTCGAACTGATTATAGGTCCAAACATCAATGAGGGAAACAACCGTTCGATGATCAATATTGTTGATGAACTTCCCGTGGAAAGCACACCTGGCGTGACAAGTAGCACTAGTCTGTCTGTTGTTCAAAGTAGGAAGCAGTCTTTTCTGGTTCTGTTGATAAAAATACTTTATGTTTACATGAAATTCTTGTATATGTTACAGGTTCAGACTTGGACAAGGAAAACAATGGTTGTAGTACGATCAATGAAGATAAATCTCCTCCACTAAGTGCACAATTACAAGCATTATCCAACAATTGGAGATCAGTTTGTTCTTCCACACGGGCGTGCTTAAGGGTCTCTGATAATAATGCTCCCAATGGCTTAGTCTTCACTGATGTTACAGAACCACAAACTCCAACCATGGAACGGAGTTTGTGTGTCTACAATGAACAAGATGTTGTAAATCCATCCACTCCTTGGGAAACATTCAGCCAGCGCAGTACCGGTGTGAAGGTTAGATTTGACAATGTTCTATAAATTTGTTCATCCCATGGCTTTTTAAATATAATTATTGACTTTTTTGGTTCTTCAGAAGTCACTTGTGGAAGATTATCTGAGGCTTCTAAATACAGCTAGCAAGTAAGTTGATGTTTTAAGTTGCTTCTATGTCATATATTCCTTTGCTTAATCTTACAATATTAGTAAGACTGTATCCATAGGCTGTACTCGAAAGTAATTTGTTGTTTCTTCTAAATCCATGTTTGACAAGCTTCTTTTCTTTGTTCTATTATTCTCTCTTCACAGGGAAGAGCTGAAAAAATTGAAAGTAAGTATCTTTTACAATTGTCTTTTCAACTCCTGATCATTGTTGCCTTTTAAAAGATTTTAAGGAAAATTTTTTACTCCAGGGAATTGGAGAGAAGAGAGCAACATCAATTATTGAATTCCGTGCAGAATCGCCTCAGCCTTTTAGAAGTGTGAGTCCCCCTCCCCCACACGAATGGATTTCGAGATTTAAGCAAGTCTTATCTTTGTGCCAGGATATCATTTTTCGTTCTAAAAACACCAAATTGTTATCAAACAACCAATCTAAAAAAACCAATGCTGTTAATTCCCAAACTCACATGAGATTCTGTATGCCTCACCCCCACACGAATTGGTGTTGAGATTTTGTGCCATGATATCATTTTTTGTTCTGATAAAAAGCCAAATTGTTATCAAACGACGAATATATTACATCAACTATTCGATGCTGTTAATTCACAGACTTACATGAGATTTTCTTTCTGTGTGCCTCGTTTGAACAGCTAGATGATTTAATGGAGATCGGTCTGTCAGCAAAGCAGGTATTTCCTCCAATCCTCTTTCTTCAATTGCAGGACTAAGAAAAAAGCATTTGCAGAGCTTTAATAGTGGTTATTTTGGTGCATACAGATTAAGGAAATGATGAAAAAGGAAGTTGCTGGGCTATTATTCAACTAGGAGCCCAAAGGGAACTGAAGAAATCTCTCCTTTCTATGGAGAATTGCTGCGATTATGAGATATGATATAATTAACCTGAAACTGTCAACGCATACTGTTGAGTAGTTTGCCCTCCTTATTAAAATTATTATGAACTGGTACCTGCCATATTGGTGTATGTGTAATTGGTGTGTATATATTATATACATACATATATACAGAATTTGATTTCATTTGGATAAATCTAAAAATTAGGTATTTTGAAGTTATTTTTTTTTTTTATATCGAAATTGATTAAATAATAACAATAATAATACCAAGTAAGAAATAATGTATATGTTAATTTGTTTGATTGTTTTTAAAAATTAAATGCATAGGTATCCAACAATAAAGTGAAGCCATGTAGTATGAAACCTATTGGAATTTGAAACAAGTGTGGATAATAATTTATCATAAATTATTTAAAATTATCATCATGACGTTTTTAAGGATTAAAAACATTTTTCACCAAAAAATTATTTAGAAAGTAATTGTAAGTGAATGGTAAACTATGAGTAAAAAAAATATTCACGCAAACGTAAATATCTCAATTTTGATCTCAATTTTAAAAAAGTATAGACAAAAACATTGATGACGTGTTGACGAATAATTCTTTGATTTTTCATAAAGTGGTGACTAAAGGTATAACATGTACAAATCTTTTCTTTCTATTTTCCAATTAATTTTCTAATCATTTTCCACACCGTGGCAGTATAACATGTACAAATCTTTCCATTTTCCAATTAATTTTTTACAGTGGTGGTGGCAAAAGATCCATTTGTTCTTCAAGATTACCATTTTTCAATTCGATCTGATCCATTCGTTTGTCAAGCTATTTAATGCATACATTTCTGGAACACCTCTAACAGAGAAATAACTAGTCAATTTTGAAAGAACTTATTATCTACCTCTTTCATATATGAGTCATCAGATTCATACATTCTTGGAACACCTCTAACAAATGAATAAATAGTCCATTTTGAAAGAACTTATTGTCAACCTCTTCCATATATGATAGTCAATTTTGAAAGAACTTATTGTCCACCACTTTCATATATGATAGTCAATTTTGAAAGAACTTATTGTCAACCTCTTTCATATATGAATCTATCTGATTCAGAGGGGAAGAACTTGATACAGTATCTCAATTTAATTTCAAACATGGATTTGATTCACACTCCATGTTCTTAGAAATATTTACCATCCGAAAAGAGAAAAAAACGGAGGATATATAGAACCTTTCAACGAATATTCTCTAGAAGAATTATAAATACAAATTCATACAAAAATTAACAAACAAGCATTTCATCATTTTTAATTTTACGTACACATTCACGATATTTTAATGATACTTTTGTGACATTTCATCACATTTTCTATTGCATAACGAAAATTTTCATGTCGAATTCATAAAAATATTAAAATGACAACAAAAATTAAAGCGTTAGTGCTGACACAACACATCCATAGATTACATGAATGAATAAATTGAAGGTTTGTTTTTTGCGAATAGGATGTCATCTCAGAGATGAAGGCAAAGCTGAAAAGGCCAACCAAATTGGGATCCTATAATAACAATAGGTTTGATTTCGCTTGTTCAGTCAACTTTGTTGGGTTAAGCATAGTTTAAAGGATAATCAAGTAAAAATCTATAAAAACATAAACTAAAGATTCCAGGTTCAATAGCTAATGCACTTTCTAATTCCTTCAAAAGATTCCAGGTTCCATCTTTCCATTACAGATATGATGAAATCAATAAATAACAAAAGGAGAAAAGAAAATAGGAAAAAATAAACAAATAGTTGCTCAAATCAGTAAGGGTAAAGAATTACTTGGTTATTCATCCACATGCGTTGCAGCTTTTTCTACATGTGCCATAGTAATCTGGAGAACCGATCATGAACACCGCGTTTCGTTTGCATTCGCCGATGGCAGCCCATTTGGGGCAGCTTTCATCTTCATCAATGCAGTCGTCGTCTACACCGGATTCAACTGCGTGTTCATTCCCAGTGGCTGCTGGTCTTATGTAGAAGAATTTTGTAGCAACCCACAATTTCCCATCGAGTATTGGCGTTCGGGAATGGTAGCAACTCTTGTCTGGAGAAGCATTAAGATGAACAGAGAAAAAAAGAACTGCGTTGCCTTTCACTGGTCTCAGAAAGTTGTTTTTCTTTCTCCGGTCTGACCAAAATCTTCTCTTTACCTGAGGCATTGAAAAGAAGCCAGTCATGAGTAGTACATTGTTATGGCCATAGATCTTTCGGTATTTCGTCTCACCTTTGATACTGGGAACAGAATCTCACCACCGTTAGCCGAATCTGATAGATACAAAACTACCGTGGCCATCAACGGTTCACTGGATGGCATTGCAGATCTGTTGCCAAAAAAGTACTTACGCCCTGCTGCCTCTTCACCCCCGTATTGCATAATCTGGAAAGGCATGCTATGATCTGAAGACAATAAAACTAACACGTTTAGACAAAGATCAAATAAAAGGGGAATAATAAGGAAAATGCATATCTAATTCACGTTTCAGAAATACCTTTTGGGAGAAACAACCACACCGCAATTCTATTTTCAATCCTGGCAATGATATCATCCTAAGAAACAAACCCAAATAAGAAAACAAAGTATAAATCTACAAGAAACTTGAAATAGACCGACCACCGTGGTTCGGAGCTTTTATCTGACAAGGCTTAGTTACTATAAGAAGCAGTTGACAAGCTCCACAATACATACATTCCATGAACAGAAATAGTTAGGTACTACAAAAAGGAACCACAGTTCCTCCCTTGAGCCATGGTTTGTTATAGATTTTGCAAGATAATTGATTCCAACAACTAAGAGTGGAGTCATCAAGAACAATAATTTCGAAATCTTGCGTAATTATCATAGGATATGCTAACTACCATCCTCCACATTTTTAGTGTTTATATCATGTTTGCCTTCATAGGACATTTACAGCTAGAGTTGTTTGAGATCCCTTTCAAGCTCCTATCGGTTCCCCCGAAAATAAAGCAACAAAGCATGCTTCTATGAGTATTAGAACGAGTTGATAGCATATGAAATGTCATCAATCCTAAATGTGATCCATCAAGAAAATTGAAGGAATGAGAAGAAAGGTTGAAGAAAAACTTCAAGAAAACAAGAGAAGCAAATTTCATGATATGAAATATAAATTTGACCTCTAGGTGTACAACTAAACCATTGCATAAACTTCAAAAGGTGCAGGAATGTACTGTTGTGTTTAAAATGGCTCCTGAATTGCCTAGAAATTTGGTTGAGACAGTGTTCCTGGAACCAGCATTGTTCCTAGAAGGTTTATCTTCAGAATTTGAAGCCTAAGCCCAAAAGTTAAATGCAAGTCAGGAACAGCTTAATCATGTTCATGATACTAACAAGAACAGGGCAGAAAAGTACCAAAGCAATAAGGTGATCACACTCCTCATCTGAGAGAAAGCCTTTATACAAGAAGGCCCTAAAGCAACAAAAGTTAAATCAGATTTTCTTCTAAGTTAATCAATATGCTCTGAAGTTGATGTGATAATTCTAAATCATATGAGAGATTCGCAAGTACCTGACCTTGGTTGCCAAGAGATTTGGACAACTCGTGATGGGTCGATTCTTTCAGAATGATTTGAGTAGCTCAAATGTCCACTGTTAACCATTTGGTCCCTTAAACCCTTACGGCCACTAATCGAATTGCTGGCAGAAAGAACAGAACAGATTCAAGAGAAAGAGGAAAAACACACGATATCAAACACAACCATGCATTAACAAATCATTCAACAATTTCAGTATCATGCAGTGAAACAAAAATCAGCATTAGAACACAATTCGGATTGTAATTCCGTAGACAAAATTGATGAGAATCCAATCCAGGCAGTACACAACACAAAAGATGCGGAGAAGCGGATCTGTAAAACCGAAGTTCGCTGTAAATTGCGTTCGGAAATCACCTTTGTGCAAGGCAGCTCGGGAATGAAAATGCAGCCGCTAAAAGAAGCAAAAAGTTGAGACGAGAATCCATGGATGGGTGAGACGAAGATCCAAAAAGAAGAGACGAGGAAGGGGAAGTTGAAAAGGTATAAAGAATTAGAAGTTGTGGATACAGATTTTCAGGAAGCTGCTGCTGTACAAATCCATGGTCTCCTCTGTACTTCCATGAATCTGGATCCCACCGCCAATTTCTTCAACCTCTTAAAAATAAAAAATAAAAACTATTAATACTCTATTTAAAAAACACTCTTTTAATTTTTTAAAATATTTCAAAAATATTAAAATTTTTAAAAACATTTTTTAAAATTTTTCGTAATAATTTAAAGATAATTTATGAAATATGTTATATATATAGTTTTTATATATTGATAATAAAAAATAAAATAAAATTTCAATGTTATTTTTTAAAATTTTATTAATATTTTTTAATCATAGCATTAAAAATATTAATATACTTAACATTTATTTTTAAATTTTAAATAATTTTAAACTTTTTTCCAAAGATAATTTATGAAATATATATATTGATTGATAAAAAATAAAATAAAATTTCTTTTTGAAAGTTAGAGGAGGTTAATGTTATATTTAAAATTTTATTAATATTTTTTAATCAAAGCTTGTAAAAAAAAAAAATAATAATAATAATAAAAAAAAATTAGAAGAGACTTTATGGATTTTTTTTTTTTTTTAATTTTAAGAATATTTTTTAAACATTATTAAAAGTTTAAGAGTATTTGTAAAATAAAAAACTAAGAATATTTTTTTAGACTTTTGTGGAGTATTGTTGAAACTTTTTAAAAATTTATGGATTTAGTTGAGATAAAATAGAAAATTAAGAAGTATTTTTTTATTAATTTAACTAAATATATACGTCAATCTACTTTAAAATATGATTTTTTTTTTCGCTAAAAAAAATCATAAATCCTATTGTTTAAAAAATATTCATATTCTTTCACACGTTGCAATATTATATTTCACTCCGAATGGTCTAGTTGTAACTTGTTAAAAATATTCTTTAGAGTGTATACTCGTTGAGTTCGTTTGGTTTGATAAAATCTTAGATTGGTTGGATTATTGATTCGAACCATCAGAATAGAGTTCATAAGGCAACCCATAGGTTAGGTTGTCCGATTGTTTATTTTTTAACTACCTAACAAATTCTACTTATCCACCATATATCATACATTAATAACTAAAATCTCATAAAGTCAAATATTAAACATCACTAACAAATGTAAATATTATTAATCTTTTTAATCCTAACCCTACTTTTGGGTCAACCTGACAAAAAAAAAATGTCAATCCGAAAATCGAACCAAATTTTTTAATTTTCAAAAAACAAACCCAACCAAAACATAAAAAATATATCACTAACCCAACCTTTATGATTTGGGTTGGGCAGTATGAGTTTGTCGAGTTACCGAGTCATAGTGTAGGAGTTAATCAAGTTATGAAGTCATATGTACATTTCTAATTGAAACCTGAACAATGAGTCATCGTACAATTTTTACCAATTTGTTTTGTTTCTTATGCCATCTTTCAGACTACATGATTTTTTTTTATATATTATTTTCGCACCCTTCTCTTTTCGTGCACTTTTTTTACTAACATTACAAAGAAATTTGGGCTAAAAAAACATGTCCTTTAAAAATTTAATGTAAAAGTCTCTTGAATCTTCCTTGTCTTACTTCGTACATACAATAGATCAATGGTTGTGCAATAGATCAATGGTTGTGCAATGACGTGCACAACCAGTAGTTGGATCATGAACGGATCAAGTTCATGCAAGACAACGACCACCCAGAGAAGCTATATGTTGTAACTCGTACATAAAATTTACTCAAATGGTCGTAATCATGACTAAAAATGCCTGTTATGACTTCAGCAACCAGAAGTATATTTTGTCCAAAAACAAATATCAAAGGGAAGCATGGATCTTCTATTAGTGGATGAGAATGTGAAGCTTGGTCACCAACTATTACGTAGAGCTATTGGTATATAATATAACTCAACATTTAAACAATTGTATAGAATGAGCTAATCCTAACAAAAAATATGGGCCAGCTTACCTCCACAGACTACTAATTTTCACTTCCTGCATTTAAACAATTGCTGAACTTCATCACGCCTCAAACTTCGGATGAATCCAAGAAAATCGACATCCTCTTCATAAATATAATCCGTAGGGTCAAATACTACTGAATGATTTCTTCAGCACGGTGTATCTCGACTCATTCTTGTCGTGTCTTGAGTCATCCTTGTCGTAAAGACGCTCGATCAGTTCATCCCAAGTTTCTTTCCTCTTCCTCAATGACCCTCCACTCGATGCTGGTGATTCTTCTTCTTTTTCTTCTTCACCTTCAACTGTTTCGCTGAAGGTTCCATACGGGGAAAGTGTGTATGCATGTGGCACTGCTAACGTCACTGCCCGCTGCAATGCAGCCTTGTACTCTTCAGTGTGCTCTCTTGCTAAAGTATTTTGCCTTTCCATCTTTTGTTGGGGTGGTATCCCCATGACCTTATTATCCTCCAGCATTAACTGAAGTTGACAGAAGCAGATGGATGTTTTTCGTTTTTCAGCAATGATTTCATTGTCCTTATACGTAAATTACGACAATAAACGCATTATATTCACATGAATACATTCAATGAACAAGATAAGTCAGCTAAAATTTGGGAGAATGATGATAATCTTCATGTTAATCAGAAGATAGTGGAACTCCTTGTTTTGAATGATAATGGATCTTAAACTTTCGCAGTGCAGAAAGAAACCATTGATCTTTGTACCCTGAATCTAAAATAAACAGGGTAGATGAATCTAAAATAAACCGGGTAGATCAGATAGGAGAAGGAAGGGAGTACATGTTTAATAATTGTGAGATCTCATATCGATGGGAGAGAGGAATGAAGGCTAAAGATGAAGGCTAAAGAGGACGCTGGCCCCGAAGGAGGATGAATTGTATGATCCCACATTAGTTGGAGAAAGGAACAAAGCATTCTTTATAAGGTGTGGAAACCTTTACCTAACCGCCGCATTTTAAAAACCTTGAGGGAAAGCTCAAAGATGACAATATTTGCTCGCGTGGATTTGGGCCATTATAAATAGTACCAGATTCAAACATCGGGCGGTGTGCCATTGAAGACGTTGGGCCTGAAGGGAGGAGATTGTGAGATCCCATATTGATTGAAGAGAGGAACGAGTACCAGCGAGGACACTGAGCCCCGAAGGGAGGTGAATTGTGAGATCCCACCTTGATAGGAGAGGAGAACAAAACATTTTTTATAAGGGTGTAGAAACCTCTTTCTAATATACGCGTTTCAAAAACCTTGAGGAAAAGCCTAAAAGGGAACAATATCTGCTAACGGTGAGTTTGGGCCATTACAATAATTATCTTGGTTTTCGAGAAGAAATCAGCAAAAGCAACCATCTATGTGTACTGGTATACAAAATCTAAAAGTAGTTCAAGCGATCAGGATAAACAGAGTCCACCAAACTTTAAAGAATCAGAATTCAATTTGCAGCACACCATAGCAAATTACTTCAGCAGTTTTCGCGTGCAATTTGGGGAGGTAGGGTGACAACTTAAAATTTGATTCACCAAGGGCAACTTCGACTTCGTGGACAATTATAGAGAGGGAAAGGTGAATCACAGATGAAAATTTAAGAGAAAGAAATGCAAAAGAATGCTCCAATTCCAATATCATTGAACTTCAAACAATCAGCATAAAAGCTTGGTAGAGTGATGAAACTTACTTCCAGGGCCCATTTGGCTTCTTTCTCAATCCAAATGATAGCATGGTCAGAGGTTGCATTACAAGAAAGAACTATGTGTTCAAACCTCCCATCCACCGGAACGGCCGTCTTCACAACTGGCGGAAACCTTCCACACCTTTCGCAAGAAACAGGTGAATTCTTCAAATGTTAGAGCAGGACATGTTTCAGGTTCAATGGTCTAGAAAGCCAACATTTCAATAACTGATGAGGTTAAGAGAGGCTTTCTTTCCACACAACAAGTAAGGGAAGGCCATAAACTCAGAATCTCAACTTTTTGAACAGATGCTCGCAATAAAACGTTAATTGCTTTCCACACAACAAGCCCGTATTAAGTGGTACGTTTTCTTGTTTGAACGAAACATGAATTCTCCATTACATTAACCAACTTAAAATGGAAAATACACGGCATTTACCTGAAGGGCTTTCGCTCAACAATGTGATAGAGTCGACCGGGTGTGTAAAGTCTTCTCGGATCTTTAAGCATCTTGTCCTCCGATATGCATGTATCCCGCAGGCACCCCAGGCATAGAAGGCATGGCAAACTAAAAGGGAAACACAACAATTTATGAATACTCATGGTTGGGAAGAGAATTTCAAATGATGATTGAGAAACTAAGAATCACAATGAATAAATCTAAACTACCATTTCCAATTTTTTCTTTTCATAAGATCGCAAAGATTTCGTTTTTACTTTTATGCAATGAGCGTTAATATAAGAATGAGTTCACATTGCAAGAATAGAGCTCTAGTTTCCATGCTTGCAGCAATCGAGTTGTCAACAACGTAAAAGGAGTTAACACCATAAAGGGTCATGAGTCCTGAACCATACCAGAAGAGTGACTTAAAAATGTCTTCCAAGGGTGTGGCTGTCCTGGGTAAAAAGTCATCCTGGTCCAGTATAATAATCGCGGTTACATTTTGAGATGCAAGTATAAATTTGACACATATTCAGCTTCAATAAACGATAATCAAAAAATATTTTTGAACAGTCGGGACTTTGTACACTTACAACAAAAAAGATTGTTCTCTTTTACAGAATACATAATATCGATTTATAATGAAAATGATGGCTAAAGAGAAAAAACTGTAGTTTACCTGAAGAACAACAGAGTTGATGACATCTGCATATCTAACAGCCAAATTCAGGGACATACACCTAGCAGGAGCAATAGCATAGCACCTTATCCGCTTCCGATCAATATTTTCCAATTTTTTGTGATTCTGTACAACTACCAAAGTTAGCATGGCTGCTACTCCAGAGCCAAGAGAATGACCAGCAAACGTCAAAGTATAATCCGGATATTTCTTCACCAAATCCTTCAAAGTTTCATTCTCACTGTCCAAAACCCATCCAGCTGCCTTCAGAAGCCCATTGTGAACATATCCACCATCAAATTTCATCTTCCCCAGCTTGTTGTCCAATAAAACTGCATAATCACTCTCCTTTGCCAAATTAAGTCCCCTGATGGCAAGAACAATATCGCCATGATCATGATCGAGATATAAAATATATGGAGGAGCCCGCCCTCGTGTATCTTTGTATGTCTTCTTCAAGAGTAACCAATCTGGATTGATTCCATACCCACCAACTGGTTCCCAAAGAGGTTTTCGAATATCATCTTCATACACAGCTAGGATATATCGACAAATTCGCGGAATAGGTTCAAACTCATCGGTTGTGGCAAAGCCCCAAGTTTCACTGTCATGACCAGCTGTGTGGAGACAGCGTTTCCAGACCCAACGTGCACATCCCAGACAGCATACGCACTCAAGGATAGGTACACCACATATGATAGACATTGTTGCCTATGATCTAAGCTCAAGGAAATGATAGATCATATAGATTTTTCTAGTAAATGCCAGAGTTATGAAGAAACATAAAGAAATTTGACGCAAGGAAACTACAAGCTCTATTGATACAAGTCTTGGAGTTGATAACAGGTGGTAGATGATTATGGGGCGCCGAAGAACTTCAAAATATTTCGACCGATCATTTTGGGCGAACTAGAAAGCATACTTCACAAGAAAATAAATCTTAAACTTCTCTCCAAAGAATCAAATAACAAGAGAAGAACACAAATACTTGAATGCTGGAATTCATTCATCAACCAATACCATACGAACCTTCCAGTAGCTTCCAATCACTGAATCCCATGGAGCTAAACTAATTTAGGGATGAACACGAAAACAACGGAAGATCTAGGTTTCAAATTTCGATCATCAAGAGCAAAAAACAGAAGCAACGGAAGTGAAAACGAAGAAGATAGCGACAAATTCACACTTCCGGTCAAGAATTCGAGAATCAGAATCATACAAGAACATTCTTAACTAAGAATCAGAGTTTCAAATATGGAAAAATGTGGATTTAAACGCTGGATTTCTTCAAATTAACAAGAGAGACAGAGGAAACCGAGTTAATGCTGTGGACTTAGCTATAAACTCCCTCGAGAACCATTCGTAGAAACTCAAATCCGAAACGCATATAAATCTGAAGTCAGACAAGAACAGATTGTACCTGGAAGTCAACGTCTGATTTTGGGTTCAGGAATTTGGGAGATTGTGTGCATTTTGGGGGAAAATTGGATCTGGAGAAGAACATGGTGGATTGGATTATTGAGAGGGAGAGAATTTGTTGCGAGAAAATTGTGAATTATTGGATAGTGGCTACGTGTGTGTGAACTTTCAGACTGAAATTTTGGCACTCTAAGAGTTCCACGTGTCTTATTCACAACACCGCGATTTGTCTCAATCCTTTACGACCGTTAACCCTTTTTCTTTCCTCCCACGTGTTGCGTCTCCGTTAAATTTATAAAAAAAACATATCTTTAAATTTTAAAATATTTTTTAGTTTTTCAATTTTTTAATAATACTCCAAATTCGTTTTAAAAAAATAAAAAATATTTCTTTTCAAAAACTTTTAAATTTTTAAAAAGTTTTAAAATATTTTTATGATTAATATATGACATAACTGTTAATACTTTAATAATAGTAAGAAGTGAAAAAGCTAGATAATTTAGTAAGGGTAAATAACAGTTTTCACGGTAAATTTTTTACCTTTTTATATAAAAGTCAAGAATATTAATATTATTTTTAATACTTATCGTATTTTTTAAACTTTTTAAAATATTTAAAGGTAATATTCAAATTGTTTCATTATTTACTTAAATTCTTATTTTTAATATAAATAAAATGTTAATAGATAAAATATCGATCGATCAATAAAAAATCGTAATTCAATTATTAATATATCTATTATAAATAATTACCCTTTAAATATTTAAAATTTTATTTTTAAAAGATATGGGAGAATAAATAATAAAAAAAAACTTTGGAGTTAAATAAATTTATTAAACCTATGGTATAGTTGCATAGAAGGTAAAAAAAAATATATCTTTTTTAATTAACAATAAATTAATTCAACAAAAACTAATTTTTTCAAATTAGGGCCACCCATTCATAAAATTTTTCATTTATTTAAATTTAACTCCTTTAAATAAATTGATAATTCATCGTAATCTATACAAATTGAGTTTAAATCTTTTAAAGATGTCGATCAAAAATTACGGGTAGAAAACTCAAATATTAAAATATTAGGTTAAATTAATAAAAATATTTTAAAGTACTAATAAAAATATTTTATTTTAAAAATACTTTTAAAAATATATTTTTAAAAATATTGTGAACTTTCAAAATTTAATGAATATATATTTTAAAAAATATCCATTAACATTAAAAAAAAAAAAAATGGCAAAGTAGGAATGAAACCATTAATACCACACCATTCTAAAAAAATATTTATTAACTTTCAAAATTAACATAATTGCATTTTACTGTCTCCTTTAACTTTAAACAATTTAAAAAATATTTTTACCGTTAATATTATATTTAAAAGTATCCGTTGATAAAAATTAGCAGTAAAAATTTTTTTTACCTTATAATCTATCTACGAACGTTTTAAAAGGTAAACAAAGATGTGGCTTGAAACCAACCACAACGTTGGGTAAAAAAGATCGAAGAATATCCATCTGGCACGCTTGTCCCAATCAGAAAAGTACACGTGGGCACCACTCTAACACGTGGGATGTCTAGCTAGATCCAACGGCCTAGAATACGCCTTTGTTGAAATACAATCTCAGCCGTCCATGTGGTTCCCCACGATTGCCTGGATTTGTCACCTCGCGCGCTCTTTCCTCGTCATTGCGGCTGTGGCCTACGACATAACAAAGCATTACCTGTAAACATTCATTCTCATTCATTTTATCCCACGCGCATCTTCCAGAGCGTGCTGCAACATTATTTCAACAAATTTTCAAGGAATAACAACTTCTTAAAGGAAGAAAAGAAATAAAGAAAAACGATGGCATATTAAATTAATCATTAAAATATTAATAGGAATAAAAATATTTTTTTACTCGAGTTGTGGGAGTTTCTCGCTTTAAGTGAAACCCCTCCAAAAATAGGCGTAGGCCGGTGAATGCAACGTGCACACGGTATTCTTTAGTAAAAGACGAAAGAATAGTTCACTCTGTGCTCACCGCCCGGCTCTGTGGTTTGTAGTAAATTGGTAAAGGGGCATTTTATACTCCCAAGCTGTGTCCGTTTTTGCAACTATACCGATGTGGAAATTGGGCTAATGTTAAATAAATGACCTAATTGTTATTTTAGTAGAATTTTGAGAAAAAAAAATAATATTTAAGTTAATTCACTTATTAAACTCATCGAGTATAAATCCATATTTTTGGTAAATTTTTAAAATCAGAAAACTACACACTTGGACTGGAATAGGGCGCGTGGGAATGGGGCGCGTCGTAATAAATGCTCATTAACGGTCACTCCTACAAATAACAACCTCTTGAGCCTTCACTTCCCACCATCCAAATCCATTTCATACTTCGTTCCAACAGATTTCACGCAAATTCCATTTCCTTCCGTTCTTCAAGCTATGAAGCGCCAGTTCGCGAGTTTTGGAAACGTCCGCGATCTCAATTTCGAGGCAACAGAGCTGCGATTAGGATTACTGCCGAGAACAGAACAAGAACGAGAATCACAATCAAAATCCGCGGAACAGAGCAAGAGCGAATCCAGATCCGGAAGCGAGTACTCGATTTCGTCCACTAATCCTTCTTCAGATGCCGAGCATTTGCATTGCCGCGAAATACACATTATCGATCATCCTCCACCGGCAAAGTAAAGTCGATAATCTCGATTCGTTTAATTTCTGTTTCTATTTCTATCTGAATCGCTGTTTTAGGAAATTAGGGTTTATGTGTGTTGTGTTCTGGTGGTGGTGGAATTATTGCAGGGCGCAAGTGGTAGGATGGCCACCGGTGAGATCTTACCTGAAGAATATGATAATTGAAGCAGAAAAGAAGATTCAGAAGGAGATTATGAACAAGGAAGTAGGGAGCAGTCGAATGTATGTGAAAGTAAGCTTGGATGGAGCTCCTTACCTCAGGAAGATTGATCTCAAGCTTTATCAGAGCTATCAACAGCTTTTGGATGTTTTGGAAGACATGTTCAACATCAAACTTGGTTAGTTGTGCCTCCATAACCATTTCATTTTTCATTTTGAGAAGTAATTTATAAACTTCCACTTATAACAGAGAGATGAACATAGTAAGGAAAATTAAAAGAAAAACTAATCCAACTCGTTCTTCTCTGGTTGATAATCGTTGATAAGAGATTTTAAGGCCGGTTTGATTACACGTTTAGGCAACATAAAAATCTATACATTCTATATGAAAATAGCTTTTGAACTTAAACTAATGCATCTAAACATAAATTCGTATGGTAATCAATAGGTGGAAATTCAGAGAGAGAGGGGAACAATTGGTGTGAATATGTTCTAACTTATGAAGATAAAGATGGTGATTGGATGATGGTTGGAGATGTTCCATGGAAGTGAGTCTCTCTCTCTCTCTCTCTCGAATTTTGCCTCTTCTTTACTGATCTTTCTCTCTAAGAACCCTAATGTATTCGTGTTCTTCCTTCATGCAGTATGTTTATTTGCTGCTGCAAGAGATTGAGAATTATGAAAGGATCAGATGCCAGAGGATTGGGTTGTTCGTAATTTAAAGAAAAAGAAATTTGAGGAATTTATTTTGGATCAAATTTATTGTTCCCAAAACAAAATGAGATCCGAGACACAACTACTCAAGATCCAATTGTACAAAAATGAATGTCATATTCCGCTTTATATTTTATATTTAATTATATGGTTTTTTTTTTTTTTTTTTTTGGAATAATTGGACAAATTAGTTCGGTCTCAATTAATTAGATATATAATAATAATAATAATAATAATAATAATAATAATAAAAAAGTTTGAATGTTAGGTTAACTAATCTCAACCCACAATAGTTAGCTGAAACCTATTTAATAAGGGTATAAATGGTCGGGTTGAGTTGGGTTAGAGAGATTTTTTTTACCCAAACCAAAAGTTTGGGTTGGTTGAATTGGTAAACAAGCTCGAAAATTTTCACAACCCAAATCTCCATTTTCTACTAGGTTGTCTAATGGTTAAAAAAATTATTTTTTTTAATTTTTTTTATTTAACTACAATTTATAATTATTATATGAGTGATAATTAAAAGTTACAAATCAATAAAAAATCAATTAAGAACCAGGAGCGAAAATGGTAACGTATTTACATAGTTCAACGTTGTCATAAAATTAAAAACAATTAAAATATACACATTTGTTGAGAATTGGTTAAAGTAAAAAAAAAATATAAAAATAGATCATAAAATTAAAAAAACAATAAAAATAATTAGAAACTAAAAATAATTAAAATATGAGGATTTGTTAGAGTAAGAAAAATATAAGGATAAATCCTTAAATAAAAAAAAAAAATAGACTAATCCAATTTCAATACTAATTTTCTAATCCAATTTTGTAGAGCTAAAAATAATAATATATATAAAAGAATTTAAACAAAATAATAACAAAAATTAACCTATTTGATAGATGTCAAACTATAAGACAAAATATCAGGACAAACTTATCATTTTGGTTAACTTCTTAATAAATTTTATATATTTTTATATGGCTTAAGTCAACCCGAGGGTTTTATCCCATAAACCCGAAACTGAACTGAGTCAGTTCGAATTCAGAAACATAAACCCAACCCAACTTGAGTAGGATTGGTCCAGGTTGTTGAGTTTTATATAGACCTCTACTATTTAATTATAATTATTAGTCTTTCTTTCAAATTCTTTCAAATCTAAACGATAAGTAAAGGATTGAAGTGTTTTGAAATTGGTACTTATTTTCTCATCGGTTTCTTATGATTTTCTCCTTTTATGTGAGAAAAAAATTAAAATTATTGTTGAAAAATATGCTTCTATGCTCACATTTTTTTTCTAATAGTTTTCAATGAATCGTAGAACGAAAATAATAATAATAATAATAATAGTTTCTAATAACTTATTTTTATTATTGAAATTTGACTAAAAATTACAATAAGTCAAATTTCAAGTATTTCTTTAAAAATGTGAGAAAACCTAAAAAGGTAAGAAAATGAATTTATTTTCAAATAGGTCGGGACTAAAGCCAAACCAGTAAACCTCTGCTATAATATTGATTGCTGAAATATCGATTCAAACTTGGTTTAAGAGATTCCAAACCTTCCTAGTTTGACATCGGAGCGTTTCGACGTCAAACCCTTCGAAAATGATTAAACAAACAGCTCCCATGATACGAGTATGTACCATCAAACGAACAATATATTATCCTCCCATGTTCTAAGAAGATGCACCGTTGAAAACACAAATTAGGGGTAGAAAAATCCATGAAACTGCAAACGAGAAAACATCCATTTTTATCACTGTAGATACATTACAAAGGCACTTAACGTTTCGAATGTGTATCACAGCTTGAGATTTAGACAATTGAGTTAAAGCGAGAATTCTTATAAGATCCCATATCAGTTGGAGAGAGGAACAAAACATAATTCTTATAAGATCGCATGTCGGTTGTAGAGGGGAACGAAACAGAATTCTTATAAGATCCCATGTCGGTTGGAGAGGGGAACGAAACATTCCTAATAAGGATGTGGAAATCTCCCCTTAATAGACACGTTTTACAAATTTTGAAGGGAAGTTCGAAAGGAAAAGCCCAAAAGTAGTCATATCTGTTAGTGATGGACTTGAACGGTTATAATTCTTATCCTCGCGCGATATAGGAAGATATACAATTGAAAACATAAAGCCCAAGGAACAAGCAGCATTATGAAGCAGTGACCCAGCACAAGCTTATCGACATATCAGAACCAGTAAAAACAATTGATCATAAAACGTAGAGGCACCGAAGATCAATAAGTATGAGCAGAATAAGTGTTTCTTATTATACAAAATGAGCAAAGTGTAACTTTCTATTTAATTCATTCTCTTACACAAATGGCACACATATGAAGTCAGGGGAATACCTGGGGTACGCTTTTTGAACATTCTGAACTTCATTTATAGACCATTCATCAATGAAATTATGATTCTTGTTCCTGTTTCGTTTGAATTTGATGATGCGAGAAAAATTCTTTTGCACTGTTAGCCACCTCTGCTTCCAATACTGCTTCTAACATTATGTCAGACCCTTTTAACTCCACTGAAAAAGTCGAAACCTCTCGTAAATACCTTAAACAAAAGCTTCCCAACATTAACAAGCGTCGATTGAATGAAATGTTCTATAACAACCTAAGCCTAAGCCCAAGCTCACCACTAGCAGATATTGTCCTTTTTGGGCTTTCCCTTCTAGGCTTCCCTCAAGGTTTTAAAATATGTCTACTAGGGAGAGGTTTCCACACCCTTATAAGGAATGCTTCGTTTTCCTCTCCAACCAATGCGGGGATCTCACATGTTTACACCCTGACCTCCTCATTATAGGAGTAAAGAATCTATTGTCCCTTTTCTCTCACTATCCCCATACAATGACACATGCCCCTGCTCGTCACAAAAATCTTCCCTTCTTGCGTTCGTCACCCCTCGACATCCCCTATGTCTGGTCAAACCTAGATCAAACTCCTTAAAAACCAGATATTCACTTCGTATGCAAAATCGCAAACCCGAAGATTATGATCTGCAGAGGATGCAATTGTCCCATCAAGTTTGACACCCTCCTTGACACCTTGTCCCCGCAACGAGAAAAAGATTATTAAATCACTCAAAGGAGTAAACGAAAAAAAAAAAAATTGCATTAGAACCCATTAGACAGACTAAGATTTGAACAACGAGCATCTCTCCTTTCGAAGCTCCCCAGTAAGACAAAGGATCAATAATATCTAATGTTGCCCTATTGGATATGTTGAGGATTGTTGGGAAGGAGTCCCACGTTGGCTAATTTAGGGAATGGTCATAGGTTTCTAAGTAAGGAATACATCTCCATTGGTATAAGGCCTTTTGGGGAAGCCCAACGCCAAGCCATGAGAGATTATGCTCAAAGTGGACAATATCATACCATTGTGGAGATCTGTGATTCTTAACCGAATAAACCCCATCCCAATGAAGAAGAAGATATGGGCGGAAACAAAACCGCCACCACCTGAGTGGTTTCTCATTGAGGACAGCTGCAATAAACGAGAGAACAGAGTGCAAAGGGGTTTATCCCCCAACCACTTATCCTTCCAGAAAAAGGTATCCCTCCATCCCCAACCAAATGATGAACATAGCTCATCTGACATCAACTCTGGTTATCAAGTGCAATGGTGCCCACCCATACATAACTTATCTAACATTACATCAATTGATTTCTTAGTTCCAAGTGCACTAACCTCCCAAGTCAGGATTCTAACACTAGCAGTGAAGAAATTTATACGATAACGCAACCATTATCAAATCTTCGAATTCAATAGCAGATGACATACCCGGGCGTTTAGGTAACATCCCAGCATTTTCAGCAGATACAGGTAAAACAGAAGGAACCCCGAGCTCATCATTAGGCTTCTCTACATCTGTAGCAACTGGAAATGAGGCAGAGGAACCATTCCTTATGGTCGGTGATTCAGCCAATTTGGCAAATGTAGTCGCTCGGCTGTGCTCGATCGATATTTGTGAAGTTGCAACCTGAAGAAAAGTGCAGATATGAAGTCGCTTAAAATCGTAGCGATGAAAAGATCCATAATGATATTCAGCAATTAATAAGAACCTTGAGGATGTTAGCTGCTGGTGTAGTACCCTCAGCTGTTGGTGGCACAGAAGGTTTTTCTGTTGCTGAATCACCTGCCATTCCGAATGGGACAATTAGAAAATATTTACAAAGCTTGTAAAAATTAGCAGTAGGGATACAAATCACGTACTAGTTACACCACTATCAGCTGCTTTCAGCTCAGGATTGTCCACAAGCCTCTGAGTCAATGTCCCGGGATTCAAGAACGATATGCTTCGAATTTCATGACGAATAGCATCAATCTGAGCCATAGTGTCTTGCAATTCCTTGTGAACCTGAAAACAGGGAATCAGTTCTAGTCAAATTTGTTCCAGAAGATTGTCAGTAAATCAGCTATAAATGCCCTTTCAATTTTCCTGTAAAACCAGCATGGAAAAAACTCCAAAAACTTCTAGACAAAAATTACAAAGAAACAGGAGGATCAAATGGAAAATGATCTAATCAACAAGAACATAGAAAGACTGTGGATACTTTCCTGCTCTGCCTAGCTCGAAAATCAACAAATCAATTCCGAAGTATTATTTGTTCGGCTCTAACAAGTTCCTAATTTTCAATCATTAAAGACACGTTCGAGAGTGATAGTGGAAAGAACTTGTTTATAAGTGATTGTCAATGAATTAAAACTTAATTTCAATGATTAAAGACATGTTCGAGAGTGATTTTGAACATAAGAAAAGTGGTTTGAATCACTTCCAAACAAAAAACGTGGCTCGTTTTTCAAAAACACATCTTTACAACGTCCTATAATATATCATCGTCTTTCCAAAAGTCAGTGACACTGCTGAAACCTTCACAACCATCACGAAAGAATTTACGAAGAAATACCTGACGAGCTTGGGTTTGTTGCATGACAGAGTCGAACTGACCTCGAGCTAACTGAACGTATCCGATTGCTTTTCCAGCCATCCTTCCCGCCATTCTCGCAATCCGTGGGAGATCCTTTGGCCCTTTTCATAAGAATCTGGGAGTCAAAACTCTATTCACGGCTTAAATATATTAGATAGTTTAGCAAACGAGAAAGGGTGGTGCAGTGATTACCAATGAAGGCAGCAGTAGCCCCAATAAGGAGGAGGAGTTCTCCATATGAAATGCCCAGCATCTAAGTTTCGTAGTGACTAAGAACTCAGAACAGCTATCAAGCCAGGCCTGGAGATTGAGAATGATATCAGATGCAAGAACTTTCACTCAATTCAGTCCTCACTGATTGGCTGTTCGGATATCTAAACAATTCAGGAGCAACATTCAGAAACAACATAGGAAATTACCCACTCAAAAATATTTTCTAATCTCCACAATTGACTTGCATAAACTCTATCTATCATTTTTTCTCAAGATTTTAAAACGCGTCTACTAGGGAGAGGTTTCCACACCCTTGTAAGGAATGTTTCGTTCACCTCTCCAACCGAGGTGGGATCTCATAATCCGCCACTTGCGAGCCTAGTGTCCTCGTTTGGCGCTGATACCATTTGTAATAGTCCAAACCCACCACTAACAGATACGGTCTGTTTTGGCCCGTTACATATCACTGTCAGCCTCACGGTTATAAAACACGTATGCTAGGGAGAGGTTTCCACACCCTTGTAAAGAATGTTTCGTTCCTCTCTCCAATCAATGTAGGATCTCACAATCCATCCAATTGGGGGACTTGCTGGCACATCGCCAGCTGACTGGCTCTAATACTATTTGTAACTGTCCAAACCCACCAGTAACAGATATTATCCATTTTGGCCTGTTACGTATGACTATCTGCCTCAAAATTTTAAAAAACATCCACTAGGGAAAGGTTTTCACACAAAGAATGTTTTATTCCCCTCTCTAACCAATGTGTTAGGATCTCACATACCCTAATACATTAATTCTGTCCTAATAACAATCCTACCTTCAACCAACTCGTTAAACAAAAAAAAAAAAATCCAAAATTGGGTATAGACTATAGAGCAAACCTTTTTCTTTTTTCCTTTTCACTTTCACAAACGAAACACCCTTCAGAAATTGAGCCGCGGCAGTCGGCAGCCGGTGGTAGTGGCGGCGACAAATCAATACAAGATCGAGGGTGTGGGGCGGCACAAGTGAAATGAAAACAGAGGAGAAAACTGTGGCGACTAGGAATTCTCCCTTCAGATACGGATCGTGTTTGGAGCGGTGCGTTGATGGTTGTCCTATGGACGGAGATGGGCAACGACAGGCGGCGGTAGCGAGAATTATGTGACAAGTGTGACAAACAGCCGTTGGGCTAAGGACCCGGCGGCATAGAATGGCAATGTAAGACGCTGCGGATGGTCAGCGATCCGCGACTGTAGGTGATGAACGACAGTATCAGCGACGTCAGTGAAAAGCAGATGGAAATTTCTTCCGGCAGTTAGGGTTTATACTAAAAAGAATAATAGGCTAAAAAAAAAAAATTAACTCATAATTTGACAAATTTTAGTTCATTCAAATGACTAAAATGCCCTCTCTACTAAAATTCAATAAAATTCTACACAAAAAAATTAATTGATGGGTAATTATAATTAAACAATAAAATCTTAATTAAAAAATATTCAAAAATCAAATTATATCTAAAATTTGAAGAAAAAATAAATTTATTTAATAAAAAGAAAAACGAGCTTTTAAATAAAAATAATTTTTGATGGATAATTAAAATACGTAAATAAGCAAATTTATCTACTAAGAAAGGAAATAAAAATGATTTAATTTTTTTATTGAAAATTTTAAAAATATTTAATCTGATGAAGGGGTTCGATGATCGGTCGATTACTGTTGCCCTAACAGCTACCACTCGTTTAATCGGGTAAGAATTCTTTAGTTCTTCCCCAATCGATCGGTAATATCGAAATCAATCAGCTGATTCTGACCATTCCAATTCCATTTCCGTTTCTCAGCTGGGTTTGCTGTTAAGGTAAGGTTATTGTTTGTGATTTAATATGCTTGAATTTCTCTATGTTCTTGCCCGATGAAAATCAAATTTGTTCATCAGGACCTCATGTATCGATGTAATTACTCTCTTCTGAATTCTCACTTTTCTTATTAATTATCATCTATAATCTCTAATTGTACTTTCGCTTGTTGCGATCCTGTTTCATTTATTGTCATGTTGTATCTATTTCTTCTTATTTTCTTTTCTGTTTTTCCATGTTCTTCCCTTATAATATGTTGTTGTCCTTAATCATTAGTAGTTTCATATTGATGTTGGATTGATTTGTGTACGTTTTTGCTAATCATCATTGTTATGAATTGAATTCGAGCAATTTAGTCATAATCTTCATAGGTAAGTTTACTGGTACTTAGAATTGTTATTAGATGTGGAATCAATATCAGGAAAATTAGTGGTTAAGGTATTACATTTTTGTTAATTTAGTGCAATAGGTGATGTCAATTAGAATAGTTCTATAGTAATTGAACAGACCGATCAGCGCTCCGAAATCTAAGGGCATGTTTGAAATGACTTTTTAAATGTTTAAAAAAGCGTTTTTAAGTGTAAATCACTAAGAAAGTTAATCCAAACAGACCATACTAAGGAAAACAGAAAGTTTGTTCCTTGAGACTGACATGATCCTTGTATCCTTGAGGGGTCCTTGTAATCTCCACAAATGAATAAAGCAATAAAGAAATAGCTGCTGGTTTGAAAGTGAATGTAAGCAATCTGTTGAACTGAACCACTGCAATTTACCATTCTTCGCTCTCTTGTTCACCTTGAGGAGGTTAATGTCGCAAAAAGGTCAAATTTCGTGCCTAATAGTTTTTTTTAAGGAAGATCGACTATATTGACTAAATGGCATTGGCTTCTCTTTGTTGTTAGTACCGCAGTGGTGCATTTTATGTAAGTGTGTTTTTGAGGATTTAGGGTAGCTTTGGCTCACTACAAATCGTGTTGCTTAATGGTGGAGTGTTATTCTTGCCTTTGTTTCTAAAAGAAAACAATTCCCTTCAGCATGCTGCCTTTTTTTCGGGATCTTATGGCATATTTTAGAGGGATTGCGAGTCCTCAGGGGATATGGGAGGTGTGCTCTATGGCTAGGTTCAAGTGGCTCTCTTCGGATGGTTACGAGCAAGCTGTTTTGTGACTTTTCTTTTTCTTTTATTCTCAATAAGGGTTCTATCTTTTGTGGTTTATAGCTGAGATTTTTTTTTTTTTTTTTTGGTAGATGCTCATTTTCTAAAAGATGTTTTTGTCGGTTCTTTCTTTCTTTTGTTTCTTGTTTTCGTTTTCCGTATTAATCAGTTAAAATTTGGTTTCTCTCTCTTTTTTGTTTTTCCTTTTCTCTAAAGAAAGCCTTTTTCTTTTAACTGCTTGATTTGATATAACTCCTGCATGAATATCTGTTGTATTTGGAGGGAGATGTCATACCAAGTGTTCTACTGCTACCTTTCAAGATATTATTGATTGATAGCTAAAGCCTTGACATGTTCTATCTAACTGCCTTTTTTATTTTTCCTTTTCAGATAATGAAAGCATAGTTCGTATCGATAGTTTGTTGGTCGACTAACTATGAATCAAGGAGTGATATCAGTATCATGTCCTCTCTCTATTACCATACCCCAAGGCCACCATAAAAACTTCAAGATATTTAAGTCCCCAAAGGTGTTTAATGCCTTCACTCTCCGTTCCCGCTTTATTCATGCAAGACGTCCTCCAATTTGTTGCACACAGGTAAATCCTTGGGAACCTGCACCAATCACGTTTGCTTCCGAAAATGAAGAGGTTGATACCTTCTTGAAGAGAACCGAAAATATTTTTGGAAGTCTAAATGCCGATAGCACAACTGAAGCTCCGGAAGTAGAGACCAAAGAACTTGTGGAAGAAGAGACCAAAGAACTTGTGGAAGAAGAGACCAAAGAACTTGTGGAGGTAAGTAATCAACCAGAGGTGCATTTGCAGATTTTCAAATGGCCAATGTGGCTTTTGGGGCCTTCTCTTCTCCTGACAACAGGGATGGCCCCAACATTATGGCTTCCTATGTCATCTGTATTTCTCGGTCCGAATGTAGCCAGCCTCCTCTCTTTGATTGGACTCGACTGCATCTATAACCTCGGAGCTATGCTTTTTCTTCTCATGGCCGATGCTTGTGCACGGCCTAAACAACCAATAAAACCCATGAGAAGTGAGGCTCCTTTCAGTTACCAGTTCTGGAACATGCTTGCGAATGTGGTTGGTTTTGCCATACCTTTCATTATGCTTTATGGATCTGCAAGTGGGCTGGTTCAACCCCATCTTCCATTCATCTCCTTAGCAGTTCTATTGGGTCCCTATGTTCTGCTCCTCTCAGTGCAGATTTTGACCGAAATGCTGACATGGCACTGGCGATCGCCTGTTTGGCTGGTTACGCCGATCGTATACGAGGGTTATCGAATTTTGCAGCTCATGAGAGGGTTGAAACTTGGAGCTGAGCTAAGTGCACCGGCCTGGACGATGCACACAATTAGAGGATTGGTTTGCTGGTGGGTGCTGATACTTGGTGTTCAACTCATGAGGGTAGCTTGGTTTGCCGGTATTGCCTCTCTGTCTCGTAAGCAAGAAATTGTTGCTAACGGTTCATGATCTGCCAATCATAACATAATAATGAGTTTAGGATGACTTTTGAAAGGTAAAAAAAAGTGTTTCTAAGCGAAAGAACTTCATCTATAGGACACTTTTAGAAAAGCATACCTAACTTTTATTATCAAACGAAATGCTAGGATAACTTTGTGAAGTTTCGAATAGACTTAGAAAACACATTTCATCCTCCAAAAGTTATTTTAAACGTCTTAGGGACGTGTCCCAAATAAGTTTAGAAGTAGACATAGTACTAAATGATATGATGAGTATATAGATATAAAAGGTTGTGTTATAGAAAGAACATGATTTTGATTATTCAAGTTTATGAATGCCTTGATACAAATTCTCTCTTTGAATACTACATGATCATTTGACATTGACACTGATGAATAGTGTCGACTTGAATGACATGTATTAATTCTCCTCTAACTTCAATTATGACAAAATTGTTAATGTTTTGTGGCTAAACTATTAATTTCATAAAAATTCGTAGACTAAAATTGTTGTAGCAGTTATTTTGATCATATATTAAGTTGATTGAATTCCGTAGTTGCTCGGTTAGTAGGTCGTGGCCGCCTCATAATTGCCATAAATTCTTCGAGGATTAGAAGCTTTAAGTAGATTCTAATGTTTTACTTGGTTGAATTTTTGATGTGTTGTAAAGTATGCTAAGCTAAGTTCTTTGTAGAACTTTTTTTTTCTTTTTAATGATTGTATGTATCTCATAGTTTAGGGTAGTATGTAGATTAGTAAAGCATATTTAGGTTAAGTGTTACATCTCCAATCGTGTGTTAGTTTACATTGACTCATGTTTGTTTACATTAGAGTCAAGCTTCTAATCTCTGTCTCCAACTTGGGGAATAATATGTTATGATTGAAATACCCAATGTCAATGGTTATGTTATGCGACTAGATGTATGATGTAATAAGTACGATTTTTTGCAAGTTGGGCTGTTGCAAACCAAGCACGATATCAAATCAAAGATACAATGTATGGTATGGTGACTCTGTCCAGTTATATTTAAAAAATCTTCGATATGCAAACCTAAAGCTCCAGAATCAGCTTGATTTTATTCCAAATAATTGTAGCTATTGGAAATTTGATTTGACAATTTTACTGGAAAAATAAAATTTTTAGATTTAAATATATGGAATCAACTAAAAAGGGATAAAAAATGATATGGAATCAACTGTTTTTTAGCATATTACTTTGATAATCAAGATCAATAACCGAGAAAACTCATTTTTAAACTCAGTCTCATGTCCATACAATCATGATTAAGACATTTTTTTTTCGTATCAACGTATATAAAGCTATTGTAAGTGAGTTCCAATATGTAAATGTAGCTATTGTACGTGAGTTCCAGTGTGTAAATGTATCGTATCAACGTATATAAAGCTATTGTAAGTGAGTTCCAGTGTGTAAATGTATTGTATCAACGTATATAAAGCTATTGTAAGTGAGTTCCAGTATGTAAATGTAGCTATTGTACGTGAGTTCCAGTGTGTAAATGTATCGTATCAACGTATATAAAGCTATTGTAAGTGAGTTCCAGTGTGTAAATGTATCGTATCAACGTATATAAAGCTATTGTAAGTGAGTTCCAGTGTGTAAATGTATCGTATCAACGTATATAAAGCTATTGTAAGTGAGTTCCAGTGTGTAAATGTATCGTATCAACGTATATAAAGCTATTGTAAGTGAGTTCCAGTGTGTAAATGTATCGTATCAACGTATATAAAGCTATTGTAAGTGAGTTCCAGTGTGTAAATGTATCGTATCAACGTATATAAAGCTATTGTAAGTGAGTTCCAGTGTGTAAATGTATCGTATCAA